CAAAAAAAAAAAGAAAAAAAAGAAAAAAAAGAAAAAAAAGGGCATTGGTGGGTTTTTAGGGCATCGTTGCGGCCAATTTTGAAGAGACTATTGGGCTTAATTATGGATCGGCCCAATTTAGGGCTACAAACCAAACAGAAAATTTGGTTTGTTTCCACTCTGTGAGGCTTTTTGTGTAAAATAATTGAAAATTTAGGTCAGTATGACGAAAAAATGGCTATCATAAATTCTTACCTACCTTTCCGTTTTTATCCATGCCTATTTTTAGATTTTTTTGTATTTTTTTTAAACATAGAATTTTTTGTATTTAGTTCTACACCTACCATTTTTTAAAAGCACCTTATCTCGTATTTTCCTATCTTAAATTTTTGGATTCAAATTTATCATTCATTTTTTTAATAAAGAAAATGAATGGGCTAACAATCACCACCCAATAATAAAAAATATGGATTACATCTCCTCAATATCTATAAAATCAAGAAACAATGAGAACATTATCAAACGAGCCTTCACTACTTATTATAACCGATTGAAATTAAAACTTTTATGTTCAATTGTGATTGAACTCCATGTAACGTCTGACATGCTTTCTTATTTTCTATTTTAAAAACATTTGATGATTTTCGCCCTAAGACAAAGTAGTTAGTCCAATTAATTGAAGGTAATTTATTGTTCTTTAAGAAAATAAATGTTCATTAAACAATATTTGTTATTTGTTAAACAACCTATTGAGATCTTAGTCAAATTTTAGAAACATAAACAATTTTTTATAAGCTAATAAATTTGTTGAGCTTTTAAAACTAATGAAACCTTATTTAGAAAAATACGAGTGGTAACTATGCGACAAATAGTGGTTGATGTCATCATTTGATTGAGTGAGCTTGTCCTACATATTCTCTAAATCATTGATTTTAATGCTATGTTTTACTTATAAGTACCTATATTCCGATATAGTCAGACAAAAAGAAATTATTAATTTTCGGAGGCTCATTCATTTTTTGAGTAGAAACTAGAAAATGATAGAGAAAGTAGTTGACTATTTAAAATTTAATTCAAATACCAAAACAATGAAAAAGAAACATCTTAAATACCAAAAGATTAATAAATTAATAAATTAAAAAAAGAGGGAAAAAATGACAATAACTTCATATATTATAACTACTACTTCAAATCAAAAGGTATGATTTAGAGAACTCTTTTTTATTAAAAGTCTCAATCCATTAATTAATTAATTAAAAGCTTGGTCAAGCAAAGTAAACCTACAAAAAGAGTTTATATGGGAGATGGCTGTTTTCCTCTATCATTTTTTTTCCCTTCATAGAGAAGAATTTTGAACTCTAAAATGCATGCATGTGTACAAGTACACTGCCATACAGAGTGGAAAGTGATGGTGAGGTAATTGTTTTCGTTTTATAACTCATAATCTTCAACTTTTAAAATTACTATTATTATCTCATTGTCATCTGATCCACACCACGTATTATGTGACAACATCTCTTGTCTACCTTTCTAATCAATGTGAGACTATATTCGTATTTGGCTTCAACATGACGGTTCATAAAACGGTTTTATTGATTTGGTTTGCACCGAAAAGAACCCGTGCCCATGACCCTAATGGGAAAGTAGAAATATACTCTCTTTTCTTTCCAATACACAGTTTGGAATTTGGATACCACAAGAAAAGAGCAAAAACAAAAATGAAAGAAATACACAATAACAATAGTAATACTAATGGATTCCTCCAAAAAGGGGTTCCATTACTTTCCCCTCCACTGCACTGCTCTGCTCTTAATCAGAAAAACAAAAGGCTACTATTTTTTAAAAGCCATCAGCTTTCTGCTCCCTCAACTGAGAATTATATGCATGGATCTCCCCCCTCTTCTGCCATTCAAAGGGATTTCAATTTGGTCTCTAGATTCCATTCTCTGATTTAGTGATCACTCAAATCAAAGCAAATCAAATCAAATCAGATCCATCCATTTACTGCTGATGGATGGCATATGGTGTGCACTCCCACACCCAAAAAATCCCTTGTGATCTCTCCTCCTCCTGAAACAACACTCTCTTCACTCACTGTGTGCCTTCTCTTTGCTGGAGGATACATCTGCACCAAATTACTCCAACCAGAATCTTCTCCTCCACCATTTTCAAGGCTGGAACAACTTGGCATAGAATTTGAATTATAATTTGTCCCATAAAAGCCTGAAAAAAACCCCTTCCCATCACCCAATTTCACCCCAAAACTGCTCCCCATCATCAAAGATGGGTCGTTTGTGGAGCTTGTCACCCCAATTTGAGCAGCCTTCTGCAGCAAAACTGTGGCTGACATATTTCCCAGTACAGCTTCATGGGCTTGCTGATCCTGATTGCTGTACAATGAAGGAGCACTAATCACAGAGCTTGCTGCTGAAAATGGGTGATGATGATCATGGAGATCATTGATTTGGTGGGAGTTGTTGTTATTGGCAGCTGGTGCCATCATCCAAAAGGGGAGGCCTATTGTGGGTGTGTTGAGATTGTAATTATTGAAGACCATGTGGTGATCACGAGATTCATCAGTAGAGTTGTTGAGCCTGAAAATGTTGGAGGAGGAGAAGATTTGGTGGGGAGGCTTTAGGAAATGGTAGTTGTTTTCAGCTATTGTACTGTTATTGTTGGTTGATGATGCTGCATTTAGTCTTGCTGTTTCTTCTGCTAGTGCCACACAGTAGGCTCTGTGAGTTACATAGCTATCTCTCCTGCCATTTCACAGAGGTAATATATAGAACATGTCGGAACAAAAAGAAAGAAGTAGAGATCAATATTGCCGTTTCGAAACACGACGCCAACCGACCTTTCTCATTTCGAGTGAAGGGGTGTGTCAAGAATAGGTAAGTAAAAAGATCGAATATATCATAACTCGTATAGCCTAGTGTTTTAGATCAGGTGTTGTGTTCATGCATGATCATTCTCTTTCTAATTAAAATATTGATAATCACTTATTGGCTCTTGTGCTAATTTCTAAAACACACAAATGGGTGAAAATGTAAAAAATGTGAATACTGCAATACTTCAACTTAAGCTATTGGACGACGTTGTTTCTGTATTAAAATTCTTATAATACCATATTATTCACCACTCAACTCAAAATCTTAACTTACGGAACTCGAACACAGGAAGATACCATGTTAAGGATGAATAAACCATCAATTAACCAAAAAATTTAAATTTATGGGTTCAGTAAATTTAATTCATATATGGATATCTCAACACTTTTGAATCTAGTTTAAGAACACCCGAACACACACCCGACTTCTTGTATAACAAACGGAAAGCTCACTCAGCGCAAATCACTCTTTCTAGTATTTGAATGAAATCATCTCAACAACATTTTGAATATATCTTCATGGGTTTTAATCAATATATAGTTCCACTATATTATTCTCTCTCTATCTCTATAAAATACAAAAACTAATTAAAACAAACAATTTGACAACAAATTTTTACCTAGTCGCGTTTAGAGAACACATTAATATATTTATCTCTAAACCCTTCAAATTAGAATAAAAATGAGAACAAAAGCAAAGTGTTTGATATGTAATATTTACCTTGAAAATGGAGTTCCACAGTCACATTTATACTCTTTGGTGCCACAAGTTTTGGAGTGTGCTTTCCAATCCGACTGCACAGCATATTTCTTGGAGCACTTGTCGCACTTCCACTTCTTCTCGCCGTGCTTCCGGCAGAAGTGCTTTTTGATTCCGGTGAGGTCGCCGAGGGCCCTCGACGGGTGGTGGTGGACGCAGCCCTTCTCTGGACAAACATAAACTCGCTTCCTTACACCCTCTTTGTTGTTGCTACTTCTTTGCTTCAGCTTCCATGGAAGGTTGTGTCCTCGCCTGTGCAGCTGTAGGTTTTGATCCCTTTGGAAACCCTTACCGCATATTTCACACAAGAATCGGTTCGTCGCCATTAGGGTCTTCGGCGACAACGCCACAACTTCCGCTTCGGGATCTACTAGCCACCAAAACCACCAACAAGTGACTATCAATATTATAGAGGTTGGAACATAGAACTTCAGAATTGTTTAAGCTGATGAATTACAGCAGTGTATAAAAAGAGATTATGACACAACATTATAGGAATTTGAGTATGTGACTTTTGATACTATGTTGAATTACTTAAACTCCGAGAATTTTAAGCTCACGAGTTACGATAAATTTATGAAATAAGATGAGATTGAGGGGGATTGATGTGTAACCTTGATGAACTTGATGGGTTCTTTAAAAAAACATCAGAAAACTCAAAAAGTTGCAGGCTTTTTTGCAAAATATGTATATAAACAAATTAATACAAAGCTTTGTTACCTGGGTTTCCAGGGAGGTTCCTCTTCTTCTTGATAACAGGAGGATTATTGATGGATCCAAGTGTTGGGATATTATTGCAGACGAATGCATTTGAAATTGCTTGCTCTTTGGACATGATCTTCTTCTTCTCTCCTCCAACAATCTTAAGTACTTTTTTTTTTCTTTCTTTTTTGAGTCTTCTTAGTTTAATTGATTCTCAAATCTACAAGAAACCCAGAAGCATAAAAGTGTTTAGACTCAAAGGGAGTGTTCATATATATTATAAAGGAGAGAAATTGACAAGATTTGGATATCTCTCTCTCTCTCTCTCTCTCTCTCCCTTTAGATTTGAATAATTTTGGGCAATAATTCAAACTATCTTCTTCCTTAGGGATAATAAAAAACTCATTTTTGTAGGAGAGGCGGTGAAAAGTTAAAGGTTAGGGGGGAAGGGATTTGATGGGCAAAGGTGCATGATGACACATATGATGAGGGTTTATAGAGTAACAAAAAAAAAAAAAGCTTAGTTTTTTACTACCTTTTCCTTGTTGGAATCATCATCCCATAATTTCTCTGCCCTTCTCACTTTAATTGTCTAGCAAAAATCTCCTACTTACCACTAAATTTTTTACATGTAAGATAGAGAAAAGATAAAGGAAGAAAAGAGAAATCTTTTATTTTTTTTTCTTGACTTGCCAATAAGAAAGTATATATTATGTTCATTCCTAAATTTCTTCAATATTGGTTTTAAAGGCGTAATATTATGAATAAACTCATATATGGAAATGGGTTACCCTTATAATAAAGTTTTAGTGACTACAATAGGAAATAAAAGGTGTAGTGCATTTGATGTGAAAAAGTAATTAATGTTATTTTCTTATGATATTGGATTAACTGTTCCTGTCCCAAGGAATAGTTTGGGTGGTTTGAGGCTTTAAGGAATATCTTTGAGGTTTTGAGTTTAAATTACCCCTAATTTACGGAACAATGCGCATACCTAGGTATAGAAAAAGTTAAAGGGTTACTAACTCTTGGGTAATTAAAAAAAATGATCTTGTTAATTCTTCAGTAAAAAGTTAGAACCCCATCTAATTATAATTGGGAAAACTTCATGTAATTAACAAAAGCCAGCCAATAACTTGATTGTCACTTTGCTTAATTATTTGATATAAATATTGGTGAGAGTGTAAATTAAAGTATTAGTTTAAGTAGGAAACATGGTTAGCTGACAAAGGCAGTGAATTTTTGGAAGTGTGAGTAGTCGTCCCCTTGTGAGCTGACTTTTCCTGCTCATCTTAATCATAATCTAATCATGTTTTTGCTTTAAGACTTTGTTTAGTTTATAATTTTTGGAGTTTTGCTTATGAACTCTTATGGGTATAGAATATTCTCTCCCCTCTATCCCACATTTCACCCAAATTAAAGTCCTCAACTTTCGAGCCACCTTTGAAAAGATTCGTGTAGATGCAATGCAATGGAATGGCACACCAAAACCCCAAATTTCTCTCTCTCTTTGAGGTGATTTTATAATCAAAACTTAGAACAAATAAACTAGAAACTAGGAAGCTATAGCTAAATTTGAGGATTTGAATAAGGGGGGATTTAGGGAAAAGCAAATCATTGTCATTTAAGAGGATGTTTGTTTTGTTTGGCTTGTCTTTTACCCAGAAGCTGAATAGGGTTTTGTTTAATTATTATATGAGAGCTAATTGAGTAGTTTTTGTAGGCAATTCAAAATGGGATTTTTCAGAAGTATAGGTATTCGGGTGTGTGACATGTCTCCTAAGCAAGCAAACAAAAAAGAAAAAGTTAAACAAAGTCTCAAACTTTGCACATAGAGAGAAAAAAAAAAAAGAAAAAAGAAGACATTTTTTGAGTATTTGGAGATGGAAATATGGGATGTGGCCTTTGAACCAAAACTGCCCCAAAAAGAAGAGCAAGTTTGGATTGTGGAATCCAACATTTACAGAAATTCACATGGCTCTTGCCCTTGGTTTGGCTTGGCTTGGTTTAAAAGTTGGAGAATCTATGCCTTTTCACAAAACCCTAATAATATGTCTTTCTTCTTTTAAAACCCTTTTCTTTTTTACTAAATCACTCCCTTTTTTTTAGTTTATATTTGTTATGCATTTGGGTCAATGAAGTGCTATCCAAGCAAATCCATTTTGCAAAATATTTTTTAACCTTAATTCTATCTTTCTTTTGTTTCCTTCTATTGAAATGTGTTCTTATGTGCATTACTCTCCCGGAAAGAGTGTCAAAACTTTTTGGTTGAATTACAAATTTGATACATATGAAACGTCAAGATTGTGTTTAATTTTTGGTTTTAATCGGCTCTAACAAGTGTCTACCAGACATCGTCAATCAATTTCAATCTTGTATTAAAGAGGCCAGACCATTGAATTTTAAAATTGTCTAATAACTAAGTTTATAAATATTCAATTTTATGTCCTAGTAGGATTCCAAAACTTAAAAAAAAAAAAAGTCTAATAGCAAGAGTTCAAGGAGCGTACATATACGAGATGCATAACATTAAAAGTTTAGAACTTGTTAATTAAACTTTCAGAAACTCTATTATTACATCCATTCTAAAAATTCAGAACTAAACTTGTAACTTAACTTTTACTTTTTCAACTCGCACTTCAATGGAAAAAAAACACCACTTTTTCAACTCGCACTTCAATGGAAAAAAAAACACCAGTTGACTAGTTGCTTCTATCAAAACATTTTTAGAGTGCCTTTTTATGTAATTTTGAAATTTCAAAAACACTTTTCAATAAACACCTAGTCAAAGTAATGTACCACTAGGTAGTTTCGGTGTTAAATATGTATCAATCGATCAACTTGTGTGTAGCTAAATAGTTAAAGACATATATTACTAACGAAAAGATGCGAGGTTGAAATTAAAAAATATGGATGATACCTAAATTAACATTATATTATCAATTAATAATGTCCTGACCCCATATGTAATAGAAACCTTTTGTATAGATGTGGGTGTGTGAATTATTATGTTGAAGCTAAAGGGATGGAATGGACAAACCACCAAATAAGCAAAGATGTAAATGATATTGTAAAGATTGTCTTTTTCTCTACCTGGAAAGCAAACACTAAAATTGAAAAAACCCCACTTTTTCCCCACCCCTTAGAAAAAGTCCAATTAAAAAAATGTATATTATGGGCCAAGAATGTTCCTTTTATTTGAAGTGAAATTTAGGCAGCTGCAGCTGAGGTACCCTTTTGTCCCATTTAGAGAGAGAAGAAAATGATAGGTATTAAAGTGTTTTTGGAGATAGAGAGGAGAGGAGAATTCAAATTGTCACCATTTCTTTAATTATTGGAAGATAAGACAGAAAGGAGAAACAACTCAAGAAAATGACAAAGTATTGTTCAAAGTTTTAGCATCAATGGAGGAAATGTTATTACAAATCATGTTCATAATGGGAGGTCCCATTTACGTACTGTTTTTTTCTTTTTCTTTTTTTTTTTCCCTCCTTAGCCATCAATTGTAATTTAAAAATTATTATATAAGCCCCTTCGACACCGAAGGAGCCGAAAGTATGACTTTCATTGCGAAAGCATGACGTCTCAAATAGGACATATTTCAAGCATCGACTAAAGTTTTAAATTGACTGAATATGTAAGTATGAGACAACATCTTCATTGATATTGATCGGAAGTCTTTAGGTTTGAAACCAAAAGTAAAACTGTAAGGGCATTATAATTAATGTCATGATTGTGAAATTTTGTTTTAGTAATCCGAGCATGACAGATTATCTTGATTAAAAATATAAATTTGGAGACCATAACTAACTTACATATGGTGAATTTTTTTACATTTACCAAAAGGGAGAGGTACGCAAAAACAAACATAGTTCAAGAGTAATTGACATATCTCTTTAATCAAGAGGCTGTGAGTTCGATCTCCCCGCACATATAGATTTGTAATTAATATCTTAAAATTAATTTGACAACATATAAATATACATATATATGATCACTTCATTGGGTAGTACTTCCATTATTGGGTATGTTTGGGCCTTAGCACATAGTTTTGCATGGGCTCTCATGGTTATGCCCAAAACTCCCACAAAAGCCCAAAGCCCAAATCCGAAAGAGAAATTTGGATGAATGACTATATTTACACAAATGAAATGAAAATTGGCTAAAACTTTCACAATTTCCCAATATTTGCGAACCCAATGATTAATTTCTAGTTCCGAAAACAAATCTTCCTAGTAGTCCGATCCTCGAATTAAATTAAAATCATTTCTAATTTTTAATTACGTTTGAATCCAATAAATTTTGATGGATTTTAAATCAGTAAAAACAATTTTTTTTAGATGATGACCGAAAAATGAAAAAAAAATTATTTTACCATTATAAGCGTATAATTATATGTAATTTTTTTTATTTTTACTTTTCAATCTTGATTTGACTTTTTTAAATTTAAAATTTTTTCGGTTCGTTTTTTGAAAATTGGTTTTGCAATTTTTTTATAGTTTTTTTTTTCTCAATATAATTTTTTGTTTTGTTTTTATTTTAAATTTAGTACATGTAATTATAATTTTTCTGATATATTGGTTTGGCGCAATATACATTGCTATTAATTCGTCCATACATATTTTAATACCTTATCATACCTTTCATTTTTTTTAAAATTTTATATCGATTTATATACAACATTTATATACACTCTCTATTTTTTTTAGTTTTGTTGGTTGTCTTTTATCTTTTTCCTACCCTTTTCTTACTAATTCCTTTTTCTTTTTTTTCACCATTTTACTACTTTTCATACATTGTTTGGCGAGGCAAGGTTGAGTCCCTTATATTTGTTAAATATTCATTATCATATATTTTGTAAAATATATTGTTTAGCAATAACAACTCAAAGAGGATGGGAAAAGATAAATTTTAGAATTGTCTAAAAAATGTGCAATATTTAGAAAAAAATAAAAAGAAAATAAATTGATAGATGACATATTAAAATAAAATACTCGATCTCCTTTTGGTTTAATGACCTTTTTCAAATTTTATTTATTTTGAGTGTACCAAATGGGATGAGTCGTACTCGCTGAGTTAAATTGATATTGGTAATTTTATTTATTTTGAAATAATTATGTTAGCTGTTTATTTTGAATTTATAATCTTTTTATTTGATTTTGAATTTGTAATCTTTTTGTTTGATTTTACATGTGTAATGTTCATCCATTTCAAATTTGAAAATTTCCTTTAGTTTATCCAATTTTGAATTTGTAATCAGAAATCTCAGAGCCCAAAGCCCGAAGCCCAAAGCCCAAAGCCCATCACTAACACCTCCTTGGCTCCTTCGTTCTCCTCTGAAAATTGAATTTCGCAATTCGCATCATTATCAAAACTCCCTGGTAGGGCTTCGAATCTCCCGACTCGTCTTCTTTCTTCTATCCTCCAGATTTCGTAACAGTTCCATCTGAATTTCAGACGCTTCGAATTGAATTGAACGAACCATATCAACCTCTCTATGGATGCAAAAGCTTTAGCAAAATCGAAAAGAGCTCACTCTCAACACCACAGTAAGAAGTCTCATCCAAATCAGAAAAAGAAAGCCCCCTCCAATGGCACAAACGAAGCTGCAACTCCCAAAATGCCGCTTCGAAAGCAACCCAAAGATCGAGTTCTCCTCTCCCAGCCTGCACCTGAATTGCCCTCTAACTGGGATCGTTACGGTGAAGAAATTTCCGAAGCGTCCACTCAGGCTACGGCGCCAGTCCCCGATGCCATTTTGCCGAAGAGTAAAGGGGCCGACTACCGCCACCTGATTGCCGAGGCTCGATCGCAGATGCAGTCATGTACATATATGGATGTATTCCCGTCTTTGGATGATTTTCTGCCGAGTAAGTCTGCGCTATATCTTTTGAATTTTTTATAATAGGTCTGGTTCTTTGTAAATGATTGCTGATTTGTTGCGCAACATACGAATATGCTAGTCTTAGAAGTGAAAAATGTATGTCCCAGCCGGTTCGATTGATTTTAGAGTTTCTGTAATTGATGAGTGGAGGCGGGGTAGCATATTTTTGTTCCTTTTTCTCATCGTTGGCACATGTTTATTGCATTGTGTAAGAAGATGGTTTGAATGCCAACTACAACACGGTTTCTTTCCATGCATTATGACATAACCTTTTATTTTTTTCACGGTCCTTGCGTTGTTGGTTAAATCTCCAATGGACAAAGAAAAAGGAGATATGTTTGTTTCTTTTTCTGAAATCTACAGAGAATCCAAATTTCTTTTTTGTTGGTAGCTTTCAGTGAGTACTACTGGGGTTTTAATTTGAAGAATGAAGGGTTTTATATGGTAAACTTAAATGAATTATCTAACAGGAGACTTAATTAGTGGAGGATCTGCTATGCTTACGGTGATGGGGGAAGGCATGTTATCCTGGACTGAGGATGACAGTTTCATCGTGGATGAAAAAGCCACTGTTAATCCTGAGGTAATTACTCGATTACTAATATTTTTTGAGTAGAGAATATGTTAAATTATTAAACTTTCCATAGTCTTCTAGCACAAGTTCTTGGATCTTTTGTTGATTTGAACTATGGCAAGTAGAATTTCAATGAAGTTTATGATTTCTGTGAACCATTTGAAAATTGGTAGATTTCATCTTAAATGGCAATCGTCAGCAGAATTCTCCATCTTCTTTTTGTCTTTGTGGTCGATGTTGGGCGATGGGAACCTGAACATAGGGTCGTAATCAATACTATGTTAAGAAGAAGTTTTGAAGTAGATGCTGTTAAAACATTATACACCTTGTGCTCTCTTTTCCTTTGAAGCACTAGTAATTCCTTGCAGGCTTTTGGAGTGTATTTCAGCTGTTTGATGGGACCAAAATAAAATTTTATGACTACGTTCCTGCCAAATGGAGTACTCTAGCTTAGATTTTTTGTTATTAGTTTTGCTTTTCAGTCAATGCCACTTGACAATTTTTTTCTAATCTCCTGATCATGGCTCTGGATATGTATCTCTTTCTCCCAGCTGTTTTGAAATTCCTCTGGCCTATTTGTCTATGGATTTTTCACTTACGTTCGCCTCCTCTCTCGTTATTTATTCTTTTTCATGATAATATTTCATAGTTCTGTTCTACCTTTTATGGCAACTGCTATTCTTTTATGCAGGCATCGTTTCTCTCGTTGAATTTGCACACACTAGCTGACCAACTTCAAAAGTTAGATGTGGCGGAGAGGCTCTTTATCGAGGAAGATATATTACCTTCAGAACTGGTTCGCCCGATGTTTCATGGACTACAAACAGATATTAGGAGTGAACTTTAATTGCCTCAAATGAACTTTTAGCTTCTTGAATTATCACTTAAAAATGCTTTTCGTCTTTTGTAATTTAGAAGTTAGCTAGTGCTTGCTCTGAATTTGAATTACAGACACTATTTTTTCCTTGCCACAGCGTGCAGATGGAAAGGCAGTCTGTGATCAGCAGCCATCCCAGATGCAAAAATCTGATTATCAAGAGCTAATAAGAGATATCGAAATATCGTCTGACACAGAGTTCTATGAGAAAGAAAACATTGGACATGGTGTTCGAGATGCAACCATGGCCTCGTCATCTGGCTACTCTGGAAGTGTCCTTCAAAATACAACCTTCACCTCATCACCAACTTCATCAAGTCAGGCTCCAAAGTACACAGAACAACCTAACACAAACGCCAACAAGAAGACTGCTATGTTCGAAGCAACAACTGCAGAAGCAGAATTGGATATGCTTCTAGGCTCATTTAGTGAGACCATAGTCCTCGACGGCTCTGCTGCTGCAAGTTGCTCGTCCCGCATAGATGATATTTTTAAAGCCTCGCCTCACCCTCCAAGCAAAGTTCCATATTCAGCAAAGAAGGCACCCATTGCTGCAGAACTTGATGAAGCCTTAGATGACTTGTTCCAAGATACATCCTATCTAACATCTCATAAAGAAAAGTCTGTCCCCATTACCCAATCTCTTTCACCCAATTCTGGAACCAACTCCACTGCCAAGGATGATTTTGATTCTTGGCTTGATTCAATTTGAGTTCTGTAAGTAAAAGATTTTCTCACCCATGTAACCTAATTTAATTTATTGTGTAAAAAGTTAGTTTGTGCATGGTTACCCTTTTCAAAATATGAGAATGAGAATATTACATCATTGAGATTTCAACTTTCGATCTTGTTACTAATCAAGTTGCCTAATAGTGGTTGAGATTTTATTTATGAATTTTCTTTATAAAGTCAATTAGAAATGGAGATTGAAATATTGATCGTTTTTACAGCTATTAATAGTTATCAATTGCAACTGCTATCTTGGGACCACATTGGTTGGCTTGATTCATAATATTCCATGTCTGTTTTATTTCCTCAATAAATACAAATTCAGACCAACTGGCATCTACCGTTTGTGTCTGTATGTTTTTCTTTCTATCTATAATGTCAACATGGCATTATAGATAGAAACTAAGTGCTTAATATTGATTTTCTGTGCATGTATAGTATTGTCATCTACCTCTTGAATAAGCTGGATGTAAACCTCACAAAAATTATTGACTTCATTTGGGAAGCGCTCAATTTGGCGAAATTCAAAGATGCCGAGACTAATGGTGGAGAATTTCATCTATATCAGTAGAGAGAAAAATGGAGCAATGCACATTTTGGCAAAGCAAGTTTCATACATGGTAACTCCCTTTCTCTAAAAGAGGGAGTTTTTGCATGGACTCATCATATGATATAGAACGGATTTCATAACCACCATCTATCACCAATCACATTCCACGTAACTCTAAAAACATTAGAATTTTGATATTTGAAACTTTATCTATTAATTATTTCTTTTTTATTTCAACTTTGTTAGAATCTAGAATTCCTTTTCTTCAAGGCAAGCTAACTTTTAATTAAATGAAATTTATTGGTTTCGTCCATGGTTTGCTATAATTTTGCCGAGGCCCACAAGTTTTAATCTCCTAATGACTTATTTAAGCTTATTATAATAATAATTATTTAATTAGTTGAGAGTCAACAAAAGCAGGTAGAACAGTGGAGCAAAAGTGGTGGTTCCAATAACACATCTCCCTCTAGAAACTCTTTGTCATTTTCTTCCACTCCCATCTTCATTGCATGTGCAATGCCATGTGCTAAATTTCCATTTTTTATTCAAAAACCCATCTTCCAATTTCTTTTTAATAATTCAAAAAGAATTCTTATCCAAATTGTTCGAAATAACACACTTTTAAATATAGCAACACAAAGTCTAAGAGTTTAGTATGCTATTGAATTCAAATGGAAAATTACTAACCATTGTTTTTTGTTTTCCAACAATTGTAGAGCGAGAATTGAACCATTAATTTTGGAATTGACGTCAATAACAACCGTATTGATTGAAGATAAAAAAAATGAAGGAAATATCTAAAATGTTAAACAATACTTTTATATTGACTAGAGAGTAACAATTTTCTTTTATGCTATCAAATACTAAATTTTTTTTAAGGAGGTGAAGAGAGAAAAGAGTGATTTTTTAATTTTATTTTTATATATATTTGTCAAAAATGTAGTGGTGGACAATAATGTATGATTTATGCTGTCTTGTTCTACAATTATTATCATAAATGAAATTAATTGAGGTACTAAAAAATTTATCCAAACACTTATGGATATAAAAAGAAGACGAGAAAAAGGAAAGGGAATTAAATTTAAATTTGTATGCATAAATGGTGGAAATAAATAAAGCAATTTTAGAAAAAAGGAATAAAAATTACAAGAAAAGAAAAATAAAAAAAAGGCATATATGACATGACAGACAGACCACACAGCACAAGCACTATCCATCAACTTTCAAAATCTCATCTTAAGAAAAAACAGAAATGACAATGAAAACAAATCCCGAAACGAATCCCAATCCGACGCCATTTCTCACAGCAGCACCCTTGTCACCCGACGGCGGCTTCGCGGCGTCGGATTTAGGTTGGGGTTCACCGTCGGCCGGCGCTTTGTCCGCCCCCGGAGCTGGAGCTTTGGGAGCCGGTGCGGCGGTCTTGTTTCCGAAAAGTGCTTCCGGCAACAAAACTTGGTCCACTTCGAAAACGGACAACGGAGATTGCTCCCGGAGCTTGTTGTTGATCGGCACCGTGACGACGCCGGTGGAGACGTTCACTTGGTTCCCTTGGCCAGTGAAGTTCAGCCCCCAGTCGCCGGCGAGAGTCCTCACCGGGTTGCTCACCGTCAGCAGCTCCGTCGAAGTGTAGAACTACATCTCAAAATCAAGGTTTTAAATATTAATAACCACTAAAGCATTCACCTTTTAATTTTATGAAAATGTTTACTACGAAAAAAAATATATTTGGCTCTATTCTTTTCTCACTATTCAATGCTCGACAATTAAGATAGAAACGAAAAAAAAACTTCTATAAAAAACAATGAGTTGGGAGCCAAGTATTTATTAAAAAAAAAAAGAAAAATTCCATAGCAAATTATTATTTAAATATTACGACAGGATCATGTCACATTAATGATATTTATTTTTTCCTCTTATATATGGGTGGAAGTCTAATTTTTTTTGTTTTTTTGTTTTAACATAAAAATACATGGAAGTGCAATTTTTTTATTCTAGATAAAAAAATCAATTGAGTTAAGTTTCTAACTTATTATTTTATCTTAATATTTATATTTATGTCAAATCCACAGATATAAAGCAAATCTAAACACAATTTAGTGGATAAAAGAGTTATTAGATTAGAGGCTAGATTACCAGCTCCATACTATTAAACCAAAAGAAAAAATCATTGATACCCTTAAGATTAATAGATTATATAAAAAAGGCTAAAATTTTAAAGTTTAATGCATTAGAATGTTAAATTAGAGATCACGGAAATCAAGTATACCTGAGTCAAAACATGGTAAAGGAGGAGCTGGGTCTTCTGCTGGTCGTTAAGGCCGTTGAGAGCGCCGGGTTTAAGGTTGTTGAAGGCGTTGTCAGTGGGAGCAAGAATGGTCATTCCCTGAGGAGTGTTGTTGAGCTGATTCTCCAGCTGAGTTATGAGTTTGCTCTCGTTGAGGAGGCGGATTAAGGTGGTGAATTGGCCGCCTTGGGCCAGAACCGCCGTGATGTTGATGGGCCCTGCCGGAGAGGGGGCGGGCGCCGCCGGAGATGGCTGGGCCACAGTGGTCTGAGAGAAGAGGAGGAATAATGGGAGGAGGAGGAGGACGGTGGCAGCGGCGGAGGCCATGGCTGACGGCGGTGGACGGAGGAGTTTAATTAATTTAGTGGGAGAAGAGTGGTGGGGAGGTTGTTTGGTTATAAGGAGATGAGATGAGAGAAGAGTTGGGTTGGAAATGAGCTGGATTTAATGGCGACAACTAAGAGCTTGACGGATGGAGAATATTGGGAAAAAAGTCTACCAGAATACATTAGTATTTTAATTTTTGAGTTTTATATTGTAAAGTTTTAAGTCCATTTTAATTAATTGATGCACTCTTTTGGTTAAGAGTTAGTTTATTTATTTATTTTGAGGTAGGAAACAGTAATAAATTAAATACGTGTTACTTTACTTTGAAATATAACCTTTAGTCAGTAGGGATACATGCGTGCTCCACTTCAATCTTATGATATGGGTCATCGAATATTACACTCTTCCCCTCTGCAAGAAAATTTGCTTGCTCGATGGACAAGATGGTTTATGTTAGGTTAGTGTCTTTTTTGGTTAATATATGGATGGTTTAAGAGGAGTTGGATTGCATGGCGTGGGACGCAAGGAATAAACACTGCCATGTGGAGGATAAAGCTGGATAACTATTTAACGGTTTGAGATGGTCGAACTAGGATGCCAAGCGATTTGGTCGATCTTAGATATTTGTTTCACATTAAGAACGATCTGCTACACTTTGTCAAAATTAATACTGGGTGCAGTGGTATCCAATTCAACACAACTAGCACGACCATCGTCACAACAGAAATCAGAAACCCACCTTGCTTAACCTCTGGTTGGAAGTACCGTCGAACATCCAAACCTATAAATAGAGGGGTGGCATTTCACAGTCACATATTTTATTCTATTTCGGTTTTAATATCAAGGTCAATCTCTTTACTGACTTGAGCGTGAGAGAGTTTGTTCCCTTTGTACACGTCCCTCCTCATCAAGTAACTTCTCGACTCGCTCAAATGATTCATTCGATTTGATTCATCGAGACGGTACATTTTGTTGCACAAATACTAAGTGACATCCTTTCATGTCAATTATTGGTAAGCATATAGCCAAACTTGTGAGGGCTTTAACGTCTCCTTTTTTTTTTTCCCTAGTTAAGGGTTTATTGGAACAATAAAACTCTATTATATAATTACGAGAATTTGTGGATTGAGGTACCTTTTACATTAAACCGATTGCAAATTCCTTCCATTTGAACAATTTTTTTTAGTATACTTCCGGTTAAACAATTATTAATAAATAATGGACAAAACCAAAGCTAACCATTAAATATTGAATTGATCGATTAAGGTTTATTCGATTCACTTATTTAATTTTTTAAAAATAAAATGTTGATATCTTAGATATTTATTTACTTATTTTTAAAAATTGAATTAAAATTTAACTCAATTTTAATTTATATTACAACAAATTGAACCACAAAGATTTAAAAGATTGTTTTTAAACATTGTTGAAGAATAAATCTAAAAACAATTATTAGATGAAATAATTATTTATTTATTTTTTTAATTTGACAAAGGAGGAGAGATTAAACATATCTAACCAATAGAAAGATAAATAATACCTTGACCAATTGAGTTAGGCTCATATTTACGTATCTCTGAATCACATAAAAAAAGATTTTGTATACTTTGTTAAAAGTTATTTAAAATTGTATCAACCATTTGTATATCAACGACTTAATTGACTGGTTGATCTTTTATATTGATAGATGATAGTTATGAGTTGGATGAAATTTTTGAACTCATTAATTATTAATCCATGATTTACTCGTATTTTTTTTATAAAAAAAGATTTTTTTGAGTACTTAAAAAAAAAGATTTACTTGTATGATAATTGGATTCATTTAAACATATAACTGGTTAAATTATATTTTTTTTTGTCTTTATAACTTTAATCTTAGCTTCAATTTGACCGATGTACTTCTAAAACTTATTGTTATCATTTATATTACTTTATATTTGTCTGAATAAAAAAATTGTCTATCTCAAAAAAAAAAAAAGTCTTCAAGGCTGCGATGGCTAATATTATTATTATCTATTTTTATTTCTTTAAATAAAAATATAGATGTTACCTTTGTATAGTGCCATGGTTTTGCCTTGGACGTTGTGGACTGTGGAGTACATATATCTTCAAATAAAATGGGCTGGAATGGGCTTAGGATGTTGGGCTTGAATTGGGTCTCGACAACTTAATTAACAATCACAAACATTCAAAAGTAGCCCAAACCACTCTTTTTTTTTCAGATTTTTTTTTTGTTTTTCGTTCATAGGACTAGGGATGAACATCGGTCAGTCAGCTCGATTATCAGGCCTAAACTGACGCCGACCGACCATGCATCGGTTTCCAGAAATGGAAACCGAGCGACCATCATTTTTGCTTCTCCACCGACTGACTGTATAGAAACCAAATCGACCAATCAATAAATCGGTTTTATGATTAAAAAACCGACTCCGACCGAATTCTTCATAAAACCGACCGACCGACGTCGGTTTAGTCTGTTTTAATCGGTCGGATCAGTTTTTCGGAGTTCTTTGCTCACCCCTATATATTACAAACACAAATTTAGATATGCTCTCTTAAAAGGGACATGGGAAGTCAATGCGTATTAGGATTTAATTTTTTCGACACCAAATAGCAACTACTCCAAAATCATAGAGACCAAATTTATAATTTTAATCCATTAATATCATGGTTGAGAATACAAATTATAAATTATAATTAAAAAAATTCAAGGAAAAAAAACTATTTATAAAAAATCTTTAAAAATAGTTTTGTTGTTGTAATGGGGGAATTGCCATGTCAAAAAGGTATATGGGCAGTATATATCCAAATTGAAGGCAGACCAATAGGGCATGGCCGAAGGCAGAAGCAGAAGCCAGGCCCTGATTCAATGATCTGCCTTTGACGATGGCGACGCCTTCCCTTCAATAATCCCCATCCCCCCATAGCCATTGCCATTGCCATTGCCAATCAACTCTTGTTCCATTCAACTATAAAACCCGTGTTTCTCCTTCTTTCTTCTTCCTCCAGATCCTCTCGAATTTCAAACATTGGTGTTCAATTGGCGGTGGTGGATGGCAAAAACCAACAAGTATTCCTCCATCAATTTCAATCACATCTACGACAAGAATCTCTCCTCCTCCAATTCCAAAACTGGCAACAATCCCGGGGCTAAGAATCCCTCTTCCGCGCCTTCCTCCTCCTTCGCCTCTGCAACCTATTCCTCCATTTCTTCCCCTAACAAGTCCCATGGCCGCATGCTCGTCCTGACCCGCCCAACCCCCAAACCCATCACCTCGCCGCCGACCCAACCCCGATCCCCGCCCACCGATCACACCCGCCCTCAATCCGATTCCGACGCCATCTCTCTTCGCCCTCTCGGTCGGACCGGTACGTCTCCGATTCCGAGCGCTGAGAAGGACAAGGAGATTCCTCCGCCTGTGACGTTGCATAAGCCGGAGAAATTTGTTCCGCCCCATCTCAGGGCCGGTTTCGTCGGGAAGGAGGAGAGGCCTGTGAACGTGGGGATCCGATCTAGGGAGGCGAATCAGAGGCAGTACGGGAACTACGGGCCTCCGAGCCGGTACGGCGAAGATGGGCGGCCCAAGTCCGGGGGTGGGTACGAGAGGATGGGAGGGGCCGGTGGGGCGGGGCCGATGATGAATCGGCCAAGATCCAGTGGGAATCGCCCGAGTTCTAGCGGATGGTACGTTTCTTTCGGATATCTACCCATTTTAACTTGTATGTCCTTATCAATTTGTTGGGATTTCTGAGACATAGACGTGTAGATAATTGTAGTTTAGAGTCATTTTAGGGATGGAGTTGCCTCCTTTGGATGCCCTTTTACGGTTTCAATGCGATCTTCTATAGCTTTTTAAATTTTACGAGATTCTCTTGATTTTGGAGGGCTTTGTGAAGATGAATCAATCCATGTTAATCTCATGCCTAGAAAAAACTGATGAATAAGTTATAGAATAAGTCGTTCCTTTTATTGGTCTCTGATTTTAGGCGGTCGAGTGTTGGCCAATACCGTGTGAGGTTCTCTTAGAAAAAGGAAATATTGGCTGCTTCAACAGTGACTTTGCTTCGAATGAAATTCTTTTTAAGAATTCAGAGTATTTGTATCAGGGCAAAGGGGTTCAGCTTTGGGACTTTTGTTTGATTGTTTCATTGCCTTGCATCAGGAAGGGGGAGAAAAAGCGATATTATTCGATTCAAATTGGCATGCAACATGGTTATTTACTTGTGAGGTGTTTGTTATTACATATTTGGGAATTGAGAATGTGAAAATTTCAAGAAGTCTGAGAATTAGATGCCTATGTTCTGAGAATGAGATGCCTATGTTTGGGACTGAAGTCTTAGAATGAGATGCCTATGTTTGAGAATCAAGAAGTCTGAGAATGAGATTGTCCGTGTTTGAGATATTCAGGATCCTTGAGTATGAATTAGAATATGCATTGAACATTCTCTAGAAATGGATTTTGAAGAGATGATAGGATGAACTATATGTTTTCATAGGTCATACCTTCAAAAAAAAAAATGTTGAGATAAAGAAGTCTGAGAATGAGATGCCTGTGTTTGAGATATCCAAGATGCTTTTGAGATATCCAAGATGCTTGAATATAATTTAAGTTAAAGCATGCATGGAACATTCTCTTTTACAAAATTATGGATTTTGAAGAGATGGTATGATGAACTATACATTTTCATAGGTTACACTATAAAAGACGCCCTTGAAAGAATATGGGTGCCTTCAATAAGTATACACTATAAAAGACGCCCTTGAAAGAACATGGTTGCCTTCAGTATTTGATAGTTTGTTGCGGTAAATATTTGTCGATATGTTGGCCTTTTTTTTTGCTTGAGATGGTTGATTAATTATTTGTAAAACTAAACATAGAGACTGACATTTATTTCAAGTTTTGGGATGTTGCATTGAAGTTCTTTCGGTTCAAGTCAACCAATCCTGCCCTCCCCTCTCCCAGGCCTCTTCTTAGGGATTGACAAATATATTGATCTTGCTTTATTTTACATGTTTTTGTTGATATGATAATTAATTGCCTCTTGTAAACAACGCTTTCATTCGCGATTCTTTCATGAAAAGATGTCTGTTTGTGTTTTCACTGATTTTTATGGTTACCAACAAATTGTGCTTAAACAGATTCATTCTGAAGTTGGATACTTTTCCAAGGAAGAAGATGGATTACTTTTGAAGCACAGCTTTGCTGACGAGCACCCATCTTTTTCTCCTTCTGGAATCAGCATTCGTCAATCAGAAGTTTTATTTTTTAGAATTCTTAGTCATGGAAGATTAAACATACACCAAGGTGACATATCACAACAATGAAGTAACATACTTCAGATTCAGATTCAGATTCAGATTGTTATACCCCAAGAAAGTGAAGTTTCAGCATCCAATCCCTTTACTGATTGGTAGTTTGCCTTCACCCTCTTCTGCATTTATGGAAGAGACTGAAGGTTGTTTTGGAATGTAGAACTGACCAGTGTTATGCGTCGCCATCGTCGTTAACTGCTTTTAGAGGCTTAGCATCTCGTGTGGAGGATGCTGCTGTGTTTTTTTTGTTCATTTTTCATCTCTCAGTTTGTGAAGATCAGTTTGTAAAATAAAGGTTCTTCTTGTGTATTAGGTTTCTTTCAGTTTGTCACGGTCTACAATTGTATTTCATTGTTGAATTCTTCCTGTGGAAGCTGAATCAAAGGGCCATTCTAATGCAACTGCTGGTATAAATAATGCATTTTCTTCTCCATCAGCTTGCTTGTAAACCAGAACGGTTCTCTTTATTGATTTAGGTCATAAACACTACAAAGAAAAAAGTTTTACCATATATATAGGAAAATACTTAGGTTCATTAACGGTGGAACCAAATCTTTGTCCTAGATAAGATTATACTTCAGGAAGACCTAGATAAGATTATACTTCAGGAAGATAAGACTACTCCTTACCGTTAAGATTACTTCTACACCTTCTACACCAAATGATAAGCTTGTCGTTAAGATTACTTCACGACAAGACTACTCCAAATGATGAGGACAAGATTACTCTAGGACAAGATTACTTCTTACCGTTAAGATTATTTCAAGACAAGACTACTCCAAATGATGTCAGGACAAGATTACTCCTTGAGTAATCGCATGTGTGTGTGTCAAGGATAAAGCTCTATAAGAGACTTTAAACCCAGAATAGGAAAAATCTTGTAGTCTCTAAATCCAACCTTGGAGAAGAGCTGTGACCACTCTTTCTCATTTCTCTCTTTTCCACCCACCACAGCCATCATGCTCATGTCGAGGAATAATTGAGTTTGAACAAACTTGTCCTCCATTTTCTCCTCCTCTACCACCACATCAATTACAATTACTTTCCCTTTTTTTCCACTCACCATGATTGCCTCTTTGCATTTCTTCAATATCTTCAAACATTCTTCATCATTCCAGTCATGCAATATAGCCTGTGCAACACAACATATCACACAGATAATTAACGCATATATATATCAAATTAAAAATGGTGGCCACTCAAGTATATAGCATAATATACCTTCAACAGAAGTGCATCAGCAGGAGGAATAGCTTCAAACATGTCCCCTTCAACATATTTCAGGTTTCCTTCCCCTTTCAGGTCAGCCACAACTTGGGGAAGATCAAACACACTGCATTCTATGCTTGGAAAAGCCTCAGCAATGGCTTTGGCCACAGTTCCAATGCCACCTCCCACATCAACCAGCGAGCCAAGTCCTTCAAACACACCTTTATACTTGCCCATCAGAGCACTCATCACCAACCTCGAATCACTAGCCATGGCTGCATTAAAAACCTCGCTATCTCTTGGCTTCCTCCCCATATACTCCCAAAACGACATCCCATGAGCTGTATCGAACGGCGTTCGATCCTCGCTTCGAAACCAGGCCGAGAGGAACTGCCATGGCTCCACTCGAAATGGCTCGAACATGTAGAGCAGGTAAGGAGCCAGATTCAAAGGGTTGTCTTTGAGAAAAAGACGAGACGAATTGGTCAGAACATATCCCTCTTCCTCTTTCTGTTCTGCACCATTTTGGCTGCTCAGTTTGTGCATTACAAAGAAACCCGAGTGGACTAAAAGACGCATCAAGCGGTATATGTGAGGGGTCTTTTGAGGGCTAAGTTGGAGGGCTGAAACAAGCTGAGAGAGGGGCATGGGGTTGGGGCCATGGCTGTGGATGGCATCTGGAATTCCTAATTGGACTGCACATTTGAGAGCCATGGGGTTGATGAAGCTGAAGATGTGGCTGCATATGTGAGATTGAGCCTCAAGAATCTCATCTACTGCCATTTCTTCACCCTGCTCCAAATCCATGGTTTCACAAGCAACACAAGTTAATCGTCAACTCTGCAAGTCGTTATAAAGTAGAAATCTTTCTACGGTTTAGAAAAGATTAAAACTTGGCTGCATCAGCATGCAGTATTGGCAGATGGAACTGGAAGTTACTGTTGCACAACATGTGTCCTAATAGAGGACACGTGTTTATTACTGTTCTTTTCAAAACAGAGGAGAAATCTCTCTGCAACTTTCTTCTTCTCTCTCTCTGACCGTAGAAATATGAACCATTCAGAAAATTCTTCGTCAACCTAACAGCGGACGTGTCTATTCACTTCATTCAATTCACTCTTGAACAATCGAATAAGTACAAAACTCTATTGTCCCCGCGCTCCGCCAACGCCACATATTCCAACGGTTTTTTATCTCATTTATCAGTATTCACGAAGTCCATCTCAAAATCAATTGACAAAGGAGAGAAGAGTCCATGTCTATTATAAACTTTTGTTAGATCTCTTATCTTATCAATGTAGACCTCTTAAGATCATTACTCTTTTGGCTTATCAACCTTGGTCGAATTCTATTTTTGGACTGGAATGAGATTTGGCCTCGATGAAACAAGAGAGCCATGATCTTGAAGAGGGACAAGTTAAAGATTCCACGTTAAAAAGATAAGGGACCTAACAATGTTTTATAATATAAATGAGCTACTCTTCCCATTTCAAAGTCAAAGAGGAAGTTTCTTCTAATTGGATGGTTTCCATTCTAGCGAGCTAAAATCAGAGTCGTTGCAATACCAAAGGAGTGAAACTTCACTAGAAGGGATATAGAACTACACCACAAGTTTCTATAAAACGAAAAAATTTTCCAACGATTTTGAGTTAGAATCCCATTAAATATTAACATGGTATAAGAGCGGGAACCCTACATTATTATTTCCTCCCAATTTGTGATGATTTTCACTCGTTGAGATATGAAATATGGGAAGAGCAGAATAAAAGAGAGAGTAGAGATAATGAGGAGTGTCGCCACCACTCACTGTCGTGGGTCGTCAGATTTATGCAGTCGCTTGCTGTTCGTGAATTGCCGGAGTTTTGAGGGGCTGAGATGGAGGCTGGCGGCTGAAAATTTTGAAGGGAGGAAATGTGTGCTACGGTTTGTGAGTGAGGCGGAAGGATGGAGATGATTTTAGAGGTGTACTACAGCCCGTTTGGTATGTAATCCAGGGAATACCTATCAAATTATGTGATCCATACCGTGAAAATTTAAATTTTGTAAACAACATTTTTTATATTTCAGTATTTTTCAATTCTGAATTTGAAATGTAAAAATGAAAGATACAAAATTTGATAAATATACCATACCAGGTTAGAAACTCATTGTATTTTTAATTTTTTTTGTTAAAACTAAAAAAAGGTTGGATATAATATTTTATAAAATATATAATTTTATAAATTAATAATTCTACAAAATTTATAATATATATGTTAATATAGCAATTAATATTATTTTAAATTTAATTGAATATTTAGTTAGTAACTAGATTAGTTTCTTGATTTTCAGATTTTTGTTTCTAAATCACCAGGTTTCCTAAACAATTTGAACTTCTAAGGATAAATTTAAAGAAATAAATTTAATTAATGAGAAAGTTAAAATTTCCAAAACATTTGATTTAAGAATTAATTAAAAACATTTTTCAAAATTCAAAAATTTAATTTATCATAATCAAAGGACTCGACTTAATTTTAATGGAAGCTAATTAATCTTAATTTAAACTCATTGAAGACTTAACAGTCCCTTAATAGCTTTTAATTTTGACTACAACAATTATCATATATTATCTTAAATACTTAGACATAAAAATAATTCAAGCTCCATCAAACATTTTGAGAAGGATAAATTATGGATAAATTTCTATAAGTGACCTAAAACCCAAAATTAGAAAGATTTTATAGTCAATAAATCTAGCTTTATGGAACAATTGAAGCCATTCTCTCTCAAAACCATCATCAATATGTCGAAAAATAATTGAGTTTCAATCAATTTTTCTTTTTTAGATGAGCCACTATGTGGATACTCCAATCAGTGGTTAGAGGTATATGTCAATTCCGCTTTGACATGTATATATGTTATTATAATTTATAATAATTATAGACACCATACTCATCGTGACTAGTAGCTTATTACACTACTTTTCCTTTCTTCTCAGTATTTGGATAATACGGTATTTGTCACACAATGGACGCAAATATCAGATTTTCACATTAGTTTTTATATCAAAAATACAAATAATAGATGTAACCATAACATAACCACTCACATTAGTCTTTATACCAAAAATAAAAATAATAAATATAACCATAATATAACCACTTGCTTAAATGTAAAAAAACCCAATTTCTAAAATATTAGACACAATATAACAATCAACATTGATAAACTAAATCTATAGTTTTAACCAATATTCTCTTTAAATACCGTGGAGAACGTGACCAAAACCAAGGAGAGAAAACATCTCTGATATATAGATAAGGTACGATATTTCTATTAATATAATATAAGACTTTTTGGTTAAAACGACAAGTAAAATTGCGAAGATTATTCCTAGAGGCGCAATTATCCCTAACAATGAGTAATAAATCACCGTTTAAAACAAATACACATTCAGAACAAAATTTAATATTTAACTATTCAATTTACAGACTTATCACAAACACCGTATGCATAAACTAAAATTTAGAAACTTGATCCATCATCATTATGGAATTATGGGTAAATCTCCATGAGAGACCTTAAACCCAGAATTGGAAATATTTTGTAGTCACTAAATCCAGAGGCATAGAATATTTGAGCCCACTCTTCCTCGCTTCGCTCTCTTCCACCCACCAACATAGTCATCAACAAGATATCGAAGAATAGTTGAGTTTGAACAACCTTGTCATCCATTTTCTTATTGCCTACCACCATTTCAATCACCATCACTTTCCCTTTCTTTCCATGTTCTGTGATTGCCTCTTTGCATTTCTTCAATATCTTTATGCATCCTTCATCGCTCCAATCATGTAATACCCACTGTGTTTGATTTGTCACACACATATAATATACACATATTACATTTTGTCGATACAAATAAATATAATATATACAAATAAATATAATATATACGTGTATTATATTTCGTCGTCAAAGTACTCTGTGACGAAATCCTAAAAGTTTTTGACACAAATATAGTAAATACACGTACTAAATTTCATCCTCAAAAGTACTCTTATTGCGAGTAAATCCCAGAAGTTTTGTTCTCTTATCCTCCAATAATTTTTGACAACAAAATTCTTTTGACGAAGAAATGCAACAGTAGTCACGAAAAGCACCTTATTGCGATGAATTTCGTCGCCAATATTTTGTCTAAAAAAATCTCAAATCAGACAAAACTTTTTGTGACAAACAATTATGTCGCTAAAAGTACCCTACGAAGACGAAGAATTCTTCGTCGTCAAGAACGGCAAAACGAAAATTCTTAGTGACGTGCAATAATTTGCTTGTATGAGAAAAAAATCAAGTATACCTTCAAAAGAAGTGCATTGGCAGGAGGAATGGCTTCAAACATGTCCCCTCCAACATAATTCAAGTTGTTCTTCCCATTTCCTTTGAAGTCAGCCACAACTTGGGGAAGATCCAACACAGTGCATTCTATTTGTGGAAAAGCCTCAGCAATGGCTTTGGCCAAAGCTCCAGTGCCACCTCCGACATCAACAACCGAGCCAAGCCCTTCAAAAACACCTTTATATTTCTCCAACAAAACACCAATCACCAACTTTGCATCACTCGCCATGCCTGCATTAAAAACATCACTATCTTTTTGCCTACTGGCCATGAACTCCCAAAAGGGTGTTCCATGAGCCATATCAAATGCCGTTCTATGATCATCACTACTTTGGAACGAGGCCGAGAGGAAGCGCCATGGCTCGACGAGGCCCGGGTCGAGCATGGAGAGCACGAAAGGAGTCAGAGTCAAAGGGTTGTCTTTGAGAAGAAAGCGAGACGAATTGGTCAGAACATATCCCTCCTCTTCCTTCTCTTGTTCGCCGTTTTGGCTCAGTTTTTGCATTACAAAGAAACCCAAGTGAACCAAAAGACGCATCAAGCGGTATACGTGAGGGGTCTTTTGAGGGCTGAGTTGGAGGGCTGAAACGAGCTGAGAGAGGGGCATGGGGTTGGGGCCATGGCGGTGGATGGCGTCTGGGATTCCTAATTGGACTGCACATTTGAGAGCCATGGGGTTGATGAAGCTGAAGATGTGGCTGCATATGTGAGATTGAGCTTCAAGAATCTCATCTATTGCCGTTTCTCCACCCTGCTCCAAATCCATGGTTTCACAACCAAATACAAGTTAATTATTAACTCCGCCGCCAAGAGCTTTAAATAATTAAGCTATCTTTGTTCGACTTAGAAAAGATTAAAACTTGGCAGTCAGCTGCATGCAGTATTGGAAGATGGAAGTTAGTGCTGCCCAACACGTGTCCCAAATATAGTTGTACGTGTCTACTATTACTTTTTTCCGATACTCTTCATCTTTACAATGGTTTGATATTGTCTATTTTGAACTCACCGATTCTTTTTTCATTGTAACGCTAGAATGGACAAAACTTTATTACAACTTGAAAAGGGGGCAAAATCACAAGTTATCTTTAGAAAATTGGGATCCCCTCCTTTTATCATGGAGGGATCAAGAGAATTGCACTTATCGAAATTAAAAAAAGAGTTGATCCTATCTAAGTGATAATTTTTATTGAGATTCCCAAAATTATTAATAGAAGGTGGGTCTTGACAAATTGAAGAATTACTGATTGAATGTTAGAGTCATTTCTATACCTTCAATGTACTTTATATCTCGAGGAATACATAGAGTTGAACATAATCAAATAAGAAATTGCCTTTAAATTTAAGAAATTTGGAAATTTTCTAGTCGAAAAGATGAGTTATTCTTTCCCTCGGAATAATAGGACCGTTATACTCGTTACTAAATTTTCTTATTTAGATACTATGGACCGCTAATTTTAGTTGAATTTTATTTGTAATTCTCACAAACCTAACCACTCAAAAATATAATATTGATGCTTATTGGTCTTGATCAATACACTCTTATAAAAATTTAACAACTACTTAATTTTGTTAACAAAAGAAAAATAGAAAAAATATTTTTCTATTTCTCCCCTTTTCTAAAAAAAGATTATTGGTAATATATAGATATATAAGAGATAAATATTTGAACTAATAAACAACTAAGTATTATCGGAAAAGAAATCTCTTCACCACCCTTTTTTCTTCCTTCTTCCTTAATGGTTGTCGCCAAAGTTGCATCTCACATGGACGTGTCTGTGCACCCCAATTTTGGTTGAAAAGTTGACCAAAATAATCTAAATTTTTATTGGAGAAGTCTGTGAATTTTATGGTAAGTTTCTATTTAGCTTCTAAGTTTAAAAAGCGTCAGTTTGATCCTTAACTTTTAGACAGTTTGGTCCTCGTTAATTTTTATCCATGCTATTTTTCCTTTTTTCTTCTCTCTGTTGCGTCCCATGTGGCTTGAACCCAATACCTTAAGGTTATTCTTTGATGTCCCAAGTCATCCAAACTATCTTTCGGAGACATAGTTCTTTTAATATGTGTCAAAGTAAATATTTTAGTAATAGTATCATTACCATAGAGTTATAAGAATCAAAGTCAAAAGATATCATAGGTATATGTGTATATATATTTTGAGAAGTGTCACATGTAAATATTAACACTTTATTCATCGAAATAGTTGAGACAATTATAGATAAATCTCTATAAAGAGATCTTAAGCCTAAAAGAGAATATCTTGTAGTCATTAATCCAGTTTTTTGGAACTTATTACACTTCCCAAATTACAATGACGGTAGAATAGCTTCTAATTTTGACTACAAGAATACTGTACAGATACAATAAAAATAGTTCAAAGCTTCATCAAACATTTTAAGATCAGAGATAAACTATGGATAGATTTCTATAAGTGACCTGAAATCCAAAATTGGGAAAATCTTGTAGTTACCAAATCCAGCTTTATGGAACAGTTGAGCCCATTCTTTCTCGTTTCTCTCTTTTCCATTTACCAAAATCATCATCAACATGTCGAAAAATAGTTGAGTTTCACTCAACATGTCACCTTTTGTTTTATTGTCTACCACTGTATCAATTACAATTATTTTTCCTTTCTTCTCATCACTTGGGATTGCTTCTTTGCATTTCTTCAATATCTTCACACATTCTTCATCACTCCAATTATGTAATACAGACTGTGTTTGTCATACAATAGATGCAAATATCATATTTTCACATTAGTCTTTATACCAAAATTATAAATAATAAATGCAACTATAATATAATTAATCACTTGCTCAAACGTAAAGAAACAATTTCTAATTTCTTGGGCACATATTTTTTTTAACAATGGTTAGGTTTTCTTTCCGACGTAGGATCCTTAATAATCTCAATCACCTTTTCTCTCATTTCCGTGTGCCCTCGACCTCCCCCAACTCTTCCTCTTAAAAAATTTGAATCGGAGAAACCCAATAGAAGTTTTTCCATTTCACTAAAAAGGGAATTACAAATTCAAAATACCCACCAAATCCACAACTTTTTGAATCAAAACTCACTCCATTTGCTTCCCAAAACCAATTTCTCTCCTTAAAACTCTCTCTCGTTGAATGATCTCTCTATCTCTCTCATGTTGCCATTCGTCCCAAGTACTCGTGTTCATCTCTCATTGTCTCACCCCCAAATCAATTCAGTTATCCAACCTAACCCAACCTAAAAATAGGGTTGGATCGAGTTAGGTTGTCTACTTGATAAGAATTAACTGGACTTTCTATCCCGATTCAACTCAACCCATGATATCCTCCTAGTTAGTTAGTGATCCACTGACATTTCTTTTAAAGTATGTTTAACTTTCTATCCCGATTCAACTCAACCCATGATATCCTCCTAGTTAGTTAGTGATCCGCTGACATTTCTTTTAAAGTATGTTTAACTTTCTATCCCGATTCAACTCAACCCATGATATCCTCCTAGTTAGTTAGTGATCCACTCACATTTCTTTTAAAGTATGTTTAGGAACGGTGGTAGAATAAATGATTTAACCAAAGGAAATTGAAGTATAATTGACTTTTTAAAATTACCATCCAAATGATATATTAAAAATCAATTTAAATTGATCTTAAACTTTCATAAATCGATTTTTTAAAGAAAATACTTGGCTCCTTAACGGTGATGACCAAATATTATCCTTACCACCGTTACAAAATCGACAACTCATTGATTTTTACAAAAAGTCTATGGTTTTGCATTTACCTCTTTTAGTTGTCGAACATTCAATGGTGGTAAATATAAAATTCCTCCTTTTTGCATTTCTCTCTTATTAAAAATTTATGGTGGTGAGGATAATATTGCTCGAGTCAAGTAATTTTTTTTTTTTTTAACTTACCAAATATGAACTATGAAAATAGAGTGATTTTAATTATGTCAAAATTACTCCCAAAGATATCGTCCTTCGTAATCAAGGAGAAGGAAACAAAGAAAAGTAAGGTACGTATATACCTTAAATAGAAGTGCATCAGCACAAGGAATAGCCTTAAACATGTCCCCTTCAACATATTTCAAGTTGTCTTCTCCCTTCAAGCGAGCTACAACTTGGGAAAGATCAAACACAGTACATTCTATTTCTGGAAAAGCTTCAGCAATGGCTTTGGCCACAGTCCCAGTGCCACCTCCCACATCCACAAGCGACCCAACTCCTTCAAACACACTTTTACATTTGTCCAACACAATACTCATCACCAACCTCGCATCACAAGCCATGGCTTCATTAAAAACCTCACCATTTGTCTTATGACGACCCATATACTCCCAAAACGACATTCCGTGAGCTGTTTCAAATGGTGTTGGATCCTCACTTTGGAGCCAGGCCGGTAGGAATCGCCATGGCTCAAAGAGGAACGATTTGTGGGTAGAAAGCACGAATGTAGCAAGAGTCAGAGGGTTGTCTTTTAAGAGAAGACGAGATGAATGAGTCAAAACATATCCCTCTTCTTCCACTTCTTCTTTTCCATCTCCGTTGTTTTTACTTACCTTTTGTATCGTGAAGAAGCCCGAGTGAACCAATATACACATTAAACGGTATATGTATTGTGTCTTTGGAGGATCGAGTTGGAGGGCAGAGACAAGTTGAGAGAGGGGCATGGGATGGGGGGCCATGGTGGTGGATGGCATCTGGTATCCCCAGTTGAAGGGCGCTATTGAGAGCCATGGAATCGACGAAGCTGAAGATGTGGTTCCATATGTGAGCTTGAGCTTCCAAGAGATCGTCACTTGAAACTACTTCCATGTTTCCACCCTCCAAATCCATAATTTGATAACTTTGACAAGTTTCCAAGTGAGATAAGGTCTTTCTATATTTATGGGAATAAAGAACAGTAACTAGGGTTTTGAAGGCTGACAGTAATAAATCACCTGAAACTACTTGTATGTTAATGTTGCATACAAGTTCTCAAGAGCTCAATTGTTACTAATTTGAAATTATAAAAAGTAAATAGTTACGAACTCAGAGTTATGGACTAAATCGTTACTCTCGTAAACAAATTAATCAGACTTTTGTGATTTCATCCTAATATTATTCATGATGTCAAACTTTGTACTTTCCTATATAGGATTATGTGGTTATCTATAGTCAGTGATGTGAACTCTCACTGTGTTAATTCTATATTAGTAATCAAAATAAACTGAAGTATTAAGATGAAGAGTTTAACAATCAGAACACGATTTAATTGGTCGAGTAATAATCTTATATGTAAGTTGTAGGTCTGAATGCACCTTCCATCGTTTGTTTTAAATAATTTCTAACTGTGGTGGTTTCAAAAAAAAAAAAAGGGAAAAAAATCAACTGTATATGATTAAATTATATTAGGTTACTTTTGAACTAACTTTGATGTTAGATTTGATGGACTTTCTTAATTTATTTCAAAGAAACTAATCGAGATCCACAAACACAGTTGATCTTCCGTATACCCAATTATTATTTAATACACATAGACTTAGAGATTAACTTAATATTTAAAATTTTATATGGTTAATATCAACATTATTGTTGAAACCTATGAGACACATTGACCGTATAACCAAATATTTAAAGCTCCAAGTCATGTAAGTCATTAATTGCATATCTATCTTCATTTAATAGCTTTAAGTAAAATAAAATATTTTATATATAAGAACTGAAGGATTGTAATGAATTATGAATTTCGTGAATTGGAATAGTAAAATTAACAATAATAAAAGACATAGGCGTAAGAAAATATGGATTATAATTTATATATATTTATAAACTCAATCAAATTGATGTCAAAGCGAGCATAGTTCAGCGGTAATTTACATATACCTCCAATCGGTTAGAAATAGAGATAAAAATATATATATATTTATAAAGGGGTAAAATTTACTACCGACGACGGGTGATATAGTGGGATTGTGGTCGAAAAGGGAGAACATCCCCCCTTAAGTTCGAGTCGTGCGGGGTACATAGCTAGAGCTTCTCCCCCAGATTATTGTTGAGTGTGTGAATGCAGTTTGAGTTATCTTTCTTAATTTCTAATGAATTTCTATTACATAAAAAAATTAAATAGGTTTACATGAATTTTCTCTTCCAAATTTGTAAGCATTAATTATATAAAAACAAGAAAAACTATAAATTAAGGCTACGCACTTTTTTGCGAAGAATAAGACAAAAAGAGTGAAAAAAAAGAAAAAAAACTTTCAATGTGAAAATGAGAAATACAACTTTTTGACTGCAAATATTATTTAGATGAAAAGAGTGAACCCTCTTTGGTTCGTGTTTCAAGACGGATCGAATGGAGAGCCTACAAGCCAATGCTTGGAGCGTGCAGGTGCCGAATCGCACCCGAAGGTGCACGTTAATATATATTGAGTATAGACTTGCTTTGAACACTCTAATTTCGTCAAAGTAACAGCGTCGCAGGCACGACCCGTCCAGTTAAGGACAGGAGCGCATCACCAGCAGAAAGGACGAGCCAGTCGGTGCTCACCATAGACGGACCGACCGACCCAACCCAAGGTCCAACTATGAGCTTTTTAACTACAACAACTTAAATATACTCTATTTGAGCTAGAATTATCGCGGTTTTTGACACCAGACTTCCCCTCCAATTGATCCTCGTTAAGGGATGTAGATTGTACTCATTCCAATTACCAGATTAAAAGAGTCTGGTATTATTATTTATTGTCACTACCTCCCCATGTCAAGATTGAGTAATTTGCGCTTTCCTTGGATGTGGTAGCCGTTTCTCAGACTCCCTCTCCATAATCAAACCCTAATTTTCCGTCACCCATCACCACCATAGAAGGTGTTAGGACCCCGATCTTGAGCATACGACATGGTTCAGCGGGCCTTACACAAGCCAATGTCAGAGTGTTGTCAGATGGTACACTCAATGATGGAGCAAGGTAGTGCAGCAATCGGTGTGGGAAGCAGGATGCAGAGCACGTACATAAGTGTTATTGGACGGCTGGTGTCACCATACATGCAGGCAGCAGCCTAGCATGAGACCAAGTCGCGATGGCCAAGTATAGGTGTGCGTAGGTGGGTGCGCACAACGACACAACATGCACGCACGCAGGTGGAGACGTAGGCGAGTCACATAAGAGATGGCAAGCGCGCACAGGCACACGCAAGAGGCGTGCGGCCAGGCGACAACGTACACAGGCATGTGAGCGGCAGTGTGTGCGAGAGCAGCACACACATGGACATACGAAGGCGTTCGAGCATGCTGGTGTGCAACATCCACGCTGAAGCATTGGTGAACTTCTTACAAGCATCACAAAGTAGGGGAATCGATCCAAGCGTGAATAGGTCTTCCATAAGGATAGTCTCATGTTCCTAAAATGGTGGATGGTGGACTTAGTGGGAGGATGACCCGAGTGGTGGCTAAATTTGGTGTTTAGCCAACACTATTTGTAGGAGTGTTAGTGGTGGAGTGGCACCACCTAAGTTTAGCATCTGGTTAGCCTATAAAATGAAGAGCTTAGGAATGTTCAAGCATCCAATCTAATCCAACGTTAATCCAATCAAGCCTAGAGTGTCCAATTGTAGCCTAAATGGCACGAGAGAGTGTAGGCTCCCCAAAGGAGGTGTTGTTCCTCTAGGGAGAGTTGAGTTCCTTATGAGAGAGAACGTTAGTCCATCAATATCTGTCTTGATGGAAGACTTCAACTAGGGAGTTGGAGTCGAGTCTCTTGTATCCTGTATATACAATTTGTATATAAAGGTCGGGAAGAGGTTCTTGTATGATTGTCGTTGCGTGTGTATGTGTTGTATTGTGTCAACACTCAGCCAACGAGAGTTAGGAGGATCGTGATGATGTATTTCCACAATAATTTTACGAAGGAACCATAGGCGTGTAGTAAGAGGCTGTACTAAGGTGGTGTCCTTAGGCCGCACGGAGTGCGATAAAATCTACTCCAGGAATTGTCCCGTGACAGTAGGCCACTATCCTACCATCGAAAGTTGATAGGGCAGAAATTTGAATGATGCGTCGCCGGCACGATGACCGTGCGATTCGTCGAGTTATCATGAATCATCATAGAAAGGGCAGAAGATATAGAGAGGAAAGTGAACCGAAGATTGTTGTGAAAAGATCTTTAAAAAAAATTATAGAAAGGAGAAAAGTTGTTAGAAGAAGTATAAGTAAGAATAGGGGAGAAATAAAGTAATTTAAGAGGGAGAGAGTGTTGTATGTGATATTTTATACTTTTTAAAATTTGGTGTGGTCCACTTTATTTGTATATTTTATTTTTAATAATAATTTAATAACATGTTATACGTGTAAAGTGAAGGAAAGTAGGATACAAATCTTCCCTACCACGATAAGACTAAAAATTATTCCGAATTACAAATTGAGGTGCTAAAAAATAGCTACATGATTTTTTTTAATACTATTAATTTATTATCAACTAGGGGAATAATCTAGTCATTTTGTGGTAAGCTAGACTTGATAATAATATCTATTAAATTTTAAATTTTAATTAGCAATGGGCTTATTACCCATATGATTGGATATAGCAAAGTCAAGATGAAGTCTTTTTTGTGAATCAAAGATGATTTTGAAATCTCATCCAAAGATTACTTTGTAGAAAAGTCAAACAAAATTTATAAAATGCTTGGCGCCTGCACAATAAATAATTTTTTAAAATAACAAAACATGAGCTAGGTGTGCAAATCATTTCAAATAACAGACATTTTCACATGAAGTTTTTCAATATATTATACAAATTAAGTAATTACCAATACTTATCACAACATTTGTCAAATTATAGAAGTCAAATAATCTATTCACGAAAATATTTTAAATTGGATCAACACTCCGCTCTTATCACATACATTATTTATGAGCGTATTTTAAATTTAATCCAACACGCGCTCGAAACATTTAGAGATTATTATGGATAGATCTCTATGAGAGACCTTAAACCCATAATTGGAAAGATCTTGTAGCCACTTAATCCGGCTTCTTTAATGAGTTGAGCCCACTCTTTTTCATCCCTCTCTTTGCCTCCTGCTAAATTCATCATCAACATATCGAAGAACAGTTGAGTCTCGATCGAGTCGTCTCCTTGTTTATTGCCTACCACCATATCAATTACAATCATTTTTCCTTTCTTTCCATTGTTTGTGATTGCCTCTTTACATTTCTTAAGTATCTCCACGCATTCTTCGTCATTCCAATCATGTAATATCCACTGTTTTCACACATGTACAAATATAACATTTCACAATTGAACATATTAGATCCTATAAGCACATATTAGAGAAAGATACAAAAACAGTAAATAAATTAATGAATGTGATATATAAAGTTAGCACATATATATTATTAGGAGAATTTTATTCCACCTATTTGCAACTTTGCCTTACATATTTCCTTTTTCTTTTGTTCAACAACCACTTAACTATGTGTTTGTAAGTAGTGGGGCGTACACTAGTGACCGAAAAATCAATCTGACCAATCAAAACCGACCAAATCGATGGCGATCGAAATCGATTTTCACCTTATCAATCGAAAGTCAGTAAAATCGATCGAGATACACAAAAAATCATAAAAATCGATTGACAGATGCTCAAATATATGTATAAAGAAAAGTAAATTTATTGTTCTGTCGTACTACCACCTTGAGAAACGAAGCACTTCTTGAGAAACCAATAGGTTAAAGATTTCAAATTTAATATTAAATGAATTATTTTATTTTTAAAATTTCTCCCCTCGAATCTCCTTTCTTCCCACACAATCTAAATAATTTCATTCTCTCTCTTTCTTCTCTCTCCTCCTCTCCATTAGGTTTCTTTCTTTCTTCTTCCCTCCAACTTGCCTCTCAGACTCACTCTACAACTACATCTCATCTTAGTCAGTCGTCTTCCAGTTGCCACTCTCTTTGTTTGTCGCCTCCTCTCTCTTACCTCTCATTCTTTCTCCACTCTCCATCTCAACGCGATGTCATACGGTCGACACAACCAATCGCAACCCATAAAATATATATATTTTACACTGACCGAACCAACTGTTTGGTCGGTTTCAATTTTTAAAAACCGACCGACACAATTTGAGCCTAAAAACTAATTTGACCGATCGATGTACACTCCTAGTAAACAAGTTAATGGAAAAAATATTATTTAGAATGTTGTTTGTACGTCAGTTGACTATTATTCTCATTATTGTAGATGAGATGTATGATTGAAAGATGGAAAAATATATTCTATATTGTTATTGTCATAATATATAATTTATCACTCTTTTGACCATAGATGTAAGGGTGCGAAAAAGAAATGGAAAAAACTTAAAAACCAAACTAAATTGAACCTAATCCATTCAATTTAATTTTCTTACACCCTAACTGTTTTGTTTTTAATTTTCTGTATTTAAAAATTATGTGTATTATCTCACAATTTCTTAAATATGTTTTTCGCTTTTTCTTTTTTACACACGTTTGATTTTAGTCAAATTTTAAAAATAAAAACAAGTTTTTTATTTTAAAAACTCTATACGGTTGAAGTGGCTAAAATGCACTATCCCGACCAATCGATTGAAGTGTTAGAAAAACAGCCACCATGGACAATCACATGGCATTTATGGTATTCACTAAATCAAAGCTTTTTTTTCTCGTCAAGAGCATCACCCAGATCGAAAATCCAAACTCTCATGCTCCATTTGTTGTAAAAAAATTAAAAAAAAAAAAACTTTTCTTTCCCATTTTCTTCTTTTTCTCTCTCCTCCCTCATTAAGAGCTCCCCACTCAATTTCCATTCTCCCATGATCCCCTTTTTACTTCATATCCTCCCCTCTTCCATTTCTTTTCCTCCATTCCTCTTTTTTCATTCACCTTTAATTTCTCTCCCTTCACTTTTCTCTCTCATTTTTTCTTTCACTTTCCCTCTCCTCTCCCTCTTAGTTCTCCTTTCGCATTCCGGTTGGTACAAAGCCAAAAAAAAAAAAAAAATCACAAGTTTTCAACCGACTGAAATCAAATGTCGATTTTCAATATCCATTTTAGCATAAAACCGACACCGACCAATCCATCGTACACCCCTAGCTCTACTCATACAATTAACTATTAGATACATGACTAAAAAAGTAACATCTTTAAACATATAGGTAAACAAGAAAAAGTAGAATTTAATTTACGTACCTTCAATAGAAGTGCATCAGCAGAAGGAACAGCCTCAAACATGTTCCCTTCAACATATTTCAAGTTGTCTTCTCCCTTCAAGTTGCCCACAACTTGGTGAAGATCAAACACAATACATTCTATTTGTGGGAAAGCTTTAGCAATGGCTTTGGCCACAGTTCCAGTGCCACCTCCCACATCCACAAGCGACCCAACTCCTTCAAACACACCTTTATATTTGTCCAACAAAATACTCATCACCAGCCTTGCATCACTCGCCATGGCTACATTGAAAACGTCGCCATCTTTTGGCTTTTCGCTGAAAAACTCCCAAAACGGCATTCCATGAGTTGTATGAAACGGCGTTCGATCCTCACTTTGGAGCCAGGCCGCAAGGAGCTGCCATGGCTCCACGAGGGCGGGTTCGAGCATGGAGAGCAAGAAAGGAGTCACGGCCGAAGGGTTGTCGTTGAGGAGAAGACGAGATGAATTGGTCAAAACATATGCTTCTTCTTCGCCATTTTTGGTCATCATTTTGTGCGTTACAAAGAAACTCGAGTGAGTTAGTAAACGCATTAAACGATATATGTATTGGGTCTTTTGAGGGCTAAGTTGGAGGGCTGAAACAAGTTGAGAGAGGGGCATGGGGTTGGGGCCATGGCGGTGGATGGCATCTGGAATTCCTAATTGAACTGCACATTTGAGAGCCATGGAGTTTATGAAGTTGAAAATGTGGTTCCATATGTGAGCTTGAGCTTCGAGGAGCTCGTGACTTGGAACTGCGATGTCTCCACCCAACTCCATATTCATCCACAACCAAGAAAATTGTTTTGCTCTGCCAACTCCAAGTAAGGATCCTCCTATTTATTGACAAAAAAGAAACAATGCCAACTAGGTTTTGGGCCCGCTAAAATTTGGTTCCATTAAATATTGGAAATTACTTGCTTGGGCAATTTTTTTCTTACCATACTAATATTTGACGAGTAAGATAGAGAATAAAAAATAGAGATTTTTTATTAAAAATTAATTAGTTGTCAATTCTTTGGGGACAAAATTTGGAAGAGCCAATTATTCTAATTAAATATTTAACAACTAATTTTTTTTTAAATTATGTTTGCATTTCTCCCTCCTAGTTATTAAATATTTTATGGTGGTAAGACAAAGTTGTCATGAAGAGCCAACTTTTATCCTTTTGCAATAATATTTGACTCCTTAATCGTGAAGAAAGATTTTTTTTTAAATAATGAATTGTCAATTTTTAAATGGTAGAGAATAAGATTTGGTCCTTACCATTTAAGAGTGAAAGTCAAGTATTTTCCAAAGGCAAATACTTTTTGGAAAATACTTGATTCTTCTTATTTGGGATCAAATCTTATTCTCAATATCATTGAAAATTTTACAACTCATAAGGAAAAAAATTTCTATTTTTGTATTCCTATTTCTCAGTTGTTAATAATAATAACAGGGACAAAATTGGTTTAGCAAGGAGTCAAATATCATCCATAATAAAATATGAGATTGCCGGATCTCATTTTTCTAGAATATAACATTTCCCATATGGGGTAGGTTTAGATGATTACTACGTTATGCTTTATCTTGTTTAATTTATATCTTATTTCGCATCATAATCTAAATTAAAAATTTTCTACGCTTCAAATTTTTAGAAGTTTCAAATTTAGTTTTTGTATTTTTTTTTCCCGTCTACGATCTTGAATACTCCAAATTAGTTTCAGCAATATTTAGGGACGATTGTATTTTAACTTTTATATATTATCAAAGTTTAATTTACATCACATAAAAAAAAGTTTTAATTTACATAAAAAGAAAAAAAATAAACAAATAAATTTCACATTATGTTTGAGTTTTAGTTAATCCTACGAAATACACTATCGTTTTAATTTAATCCAACTATGTAAAGTTTCATAATCATATATATTATTAGAGAAAAATTAAATTGATAAATTTAGGATTTTTAATTCAACGAAGGTGGGAATTAGAAGTTTTCGAACCTCCAACATTTGGAATAACATATGTATAGATTTGGAGTATTTAATACATATTATATACGTGTATATGTATATATATATGTACATAAAAGTTAGAGGTGTCCAAGTTTGAAATTTAATTATTATATATTATTAGAGTAAAAATATATTTATCATATTTTTTTATATATATGATTGGTCAATAATGGAACTCAGATTAGATCTGTTAATAAATTATTAGCCACATGAAGCAAAAGCATATGCAAGCCAATATTTAAAAATCTAAACCTTGTGAATCATTAATTCATATTTAATAGCTTTTTAACTAAAATATAATATTATATTAGGAATCATTTCCAAAAATGTATATATCTATATATTATATTAGGAATCGAAGGATTGCCAACTACAAACGTCATTCATCGAAATAGTTTTTTTTTTTTTTTTGAAACACATTCATCAAAATAGTTAAATAGCAATAATAAAGGCCCCACCTGCATAATAATAATAATATTATTAATATTAATTATAATAAATTGTTGGATAAGGATTTGATTTTTAAATTTTATGTTTTTTTCATAATTTTACTGGCTTCTTCACAATTTCTTTGACATCTTTTTAATCTTTCCTAAAATTACACTTTAATTTTTAGCAGAAATTTTAAATAATAATAATAATAAAACAAATTTTAAACTACTTTTTAGCTTTTAAAATTTAGTTTAGATTTGGAAAATATTCAAATACATAGATAGAGAAATGTTTATAAGCTTAATTTTTAAAAGTAAAAAACAAAACGATTATCAAACATGGACGGAACAAATTAAATAAGAAAGAGAAAATATGTACGCAACTAATGTTATTCTATAGAATCATAACTTAAATGGACTCTAACTCTGTTTTTATTACAATATGTAGGTTGAAATTTCGAACTCACAAGATTTTAATTGAAGATAGATACCTAAACTAATAGAAGAATTATTTACAATAAACTTAGTATATGAAAAAAAAGTTCCAATTATATCTCTCTTTTAAGAAAAAAGTAAAGGTTTTTCCTATCAAGAATGCTTTAATCGATTTATGAATTTTTTTTTCTGTTTTAAACTTCAATTAAGTAAGGTTGCTAAGCAAAACTACATGCATATGCGACGAATGTATCAACTAGAGGAATAATATATTCATTATGTGCTAAGCTATAGTTGATAATCATCTACTATTTTTAAATTTCAACTATCAATGGCTTCAACCATTATTTAATTATGTGTTAAGTCATCCTGATGTAATCACAAATAAATAAATTAATTAATTAATTAAATTAATAAATAAAAAAGAGAGGTTTTATTAAGAAAAATAAATCATTCATCTATTACAGAGATACTAGGTTATCTACCATAAGATCTTTAAGTTCGAGTCATGCATTGGTCAACTCAACCCAAACAAAGAATCCTGATTATAGAGATCTACTAGTGTAAGCCACACAACATATATATTAAAACTATATTATGATCGATCAAGAAAGTTACCATCTTTATTTAATCTATTTATTTTAACTCTTATAATATTTTAGTTATTGTACTTCTTATAACATGCCAAAAAGCGTAACATAAACAAAGTCCCATGAATGACAAAATAATTGAACTACCTCTTTATTCTATATCAAATGAGGGCCATGATCAGCTTCCATCACTTACTATGTAATTTTTTATATCAAATTTGTAATAAAAAATTAAATAAAATACTGAATTATTGTAGTTTCATTGGTTCTCTTCGGTCGTCAACAAGGGCATGGGCATGTCTGTTTAATTTAATCCCACGTGAAATTTAAAATTATTTTCTTTTTCAAAGGAAAGATATATTGCAAGGAAAAAAAGATCGACTTCACATGATGAGATTAAGGCAAAAAACAATCAAAAGAGACTTTTCACAGCCGGAACCAAAACCAAACAAAAATAAGCAAAGGACAAACTCGAGATGATGTGTGTTGAGATGCAAAATTATATATTAAGTTTAATTTATTGATAGTCCACAATAATGTGTCCTTTTTTAATATATAATATTTTCTAATTCATACATCTTTCTTGATAGGGCATATGTCTTGATCGTCACTCGAGTACAGAGCATACGTCACTCTTGTTCAAGTTCTGACGATTCCTCCCCTACACAACTAGGTTCCCATGGCTCTGATACCACTTGTTAGAACAATAGTACTCCTTCGTACCTCGAGTATCTCCACAATAGTATGATATTGTCCGCTTTAGGCATAGCCCTCACGATTTTGGTTTTGGTTCCACCCAAAAGGCCTCATACCAATGAAGATAATTGTCCTCCCTTATATAGCATAAATCATCCTTTTCCCTAACCAATATGAGACTTTGTTTGCACTCCTTACAAACCCAACAGATTTCTAATCTATCAATTGATAATCATGTTTGGAATTGAGAGATGTCATAAAAAAGATGAGAAATTATGAAAAATGATGAGAAAGGGAGGGAGAGAGTTAAAGTTAAAATTAGTCTAACCTACATAATATATTTGAAAGGTTTTGATTGGAAAAGGAAAAGAAAAAAAATGGATATGGAAAGCCTCCTATATAAATTTGATGAGTTTTAAAGAAATTATATTAATGGTTGAATTTTTTTTTGGACAGAATTTGAAAATTTTTAATTGTGAAAGGGAGTATTAAAAGTAATTAAATAGCCAATTAAAATGTAAAGAAATTTATTGGACTATTGAGTATTGGTCTTCTAAAAAACTTTGCATTTAATGGGAGGTTTTTCCAAAGAGAATTATATATATCATTTGTTAGTGTTCAGTATTATAAAAAAAAGTTTATGGAAAATATATGATTTTATACTTCAAATTATATTTATAATTAAAAACTAAAATAAATAGATAACAATATTTTATTTGTTTTTATTCCGAATACCAAAAGAACAAAACCTACGAATTAACACAAATACAACCAACAGCAGCTAAGCTCACAGCGATGGAAGGCAACGCTTCAAGCCGAACCTCGAGCTCGTTATGCGATAAAGCCATCTTAGCAAGTTTGCGGGCAGCAAAGTTTTCCTCCCGATTAACAAAACTAAACGAAGGTTGCATTCTCGGAAAAGGACAGTTTAATGCGATACAGCAACGCCAACCTCTGATTCATCGTCACACTTCATGTTCAACAACTGAAAAACGTGAGAAGAATCTGTCTCAACCTGGAGTGGGAAGAGGCCAGTGTGAAGTGCCATGGAGATTCCCTCACAAACGGCCGAACACTCTGCCAGATCAACGTTCACTACATTCGCCCACAGGATGTAGTGCTACTAGAAAAATCCACCCAATCCCTAACAACCATCCCAAACCAGCAGTAAAAAAATCCCGACAGAAAACTACATCAACATTATGAAAAACCTAATCTTACCTAAACACTTAATGAATAATGATCAACAAGACTAAAATCTACTGGTAAGTACAAGATTGACTTAATTAAGAATAGAAACAATTACAAGGACACTAAATTGATAATCCTTTTAACAGAAATAACATAAAGTTTTAGCTAAAGTATGATTCACTTGTTGTAATTAAATTAGCTTTAGGAAAGCTATGTGTAAAAGTATTTTTATTTTGGCATTGATTATACTTCAACCCACTTTTAACATAGTGATTCTAAATCTTGAAAGTAACCAAAAAAAAAAAAGGACAAAAATGTACAAATCACTTAAAAGTGCTTTGTCCCCATTACTTGTGATGAAAGCACTCCTAAAAAATAGACCAAAACATTAAATTGATGTTTGTACTAAAGTGCTTATAATTAAATAAGGGAAAAAAAACTCCTGATTGGTCCTTTTACTCCAAGGTCCCTTAAAATTCTTAATTTTCTATATTTTTCCATTTAAAATATTATATTTAAATATTTTTTAAAAATAGAAATTGTGATGTGTAATTTAAACAAATAGTAAGATGCACGTGAAATTTCAACATTTTATTTTAAAGTATTAAAAACATAAATGTTAACACTATAGTTAAACTTTAAGATATACTTTTCCTATAATTATTCTCCATAGCTAATACAAAACTGATGTTGTAGTAAATCTCATGGCGGGTAATACAATTTTATTTTGTTGGACCTCGACCTTTGATGTTTGGGTGATACCATATCTATAATTTAAAAAAAAAAAAAAAAGAATACATTATTATTAGAGGGAGGAGATTCCCTTCTATTGCCCGTAAAAAAAGACATTAACTTTTAATTATTTGGTCAGTTAAGTGGTGCTCGAGTCAATATAATTATGTTAACATTTAGATTGATAAGTAAAAAAATATAAAATATATATCTAAAAAATATATAAATTTAGCTCACACAACCCTCCCACAGAGATGGAAATAAAAATTGCAACAATAACTTTACTAATAAATTTAGAGAAATTTAAAGAGTTCTGAAGAGAGAAAATAGAGAATTTAAGGAAAAGAGCATATTCTCATTCATTGAAAGTTTCATCTTGTTTACAAGAATATAGGCTTAATTAAAGAAGAACATGGTATAGGAGCTATCTTTAGTAATAGAGTAAAATTAAGGAACCATGGAAGATACATTGGATATTACCCACCAACTTAGAAAAAAGAAAATTATTTTTTATCCCTCGTGAAAATTGTTATAACCAAGAAATATGCCACACATGGATCGAAAATCCAATTTATGATCGTTGTTAATTAGGGTCTTAAGTAAGGATAACAAACATATCCAAAAACATTTAAGAAATAGTAATTTAGTTTATGATAAAAAAATAGGATTCTAATCCTCTCTTCCACGTTAGGAAAGTTTAAGAAATTATTTTAAATCCAAAAAATATATTAAATTCCTTATCTGATTTGAAACGAGAATGATTTGAAATCTATCCATCAAAATCCTGCACTTCTAAACAGCGGAATTCATTTGCAATCCGTCATGATTTTGAAATCCCTCAAAATCTAGGATATCAAACCGAGCATAAAGGATTGCTCCATCAAGAGTTGAAGTTGGCAATCTATTAATGAGATATACTATAGCGGAAATTGCCTCAGCTCATCTCATAATTCCAAAGGCATGGTAGCTTGAGAAAGGAGAGTAAGACCAATGTCAACTTACAATATACTGTGGTTTGTGTTCAAATACCATTTTGTTGGGAAGTATAATCTAAGAGAACATATGTTCAATGCCATGATTTTTAAGAAAATTAGTGAATAATTTAAATTTCCCTCCCCATCGTATTGAAAATGCTTTTTCAACATGAATTTTAAAGGGAAAAAAAAGTTTTGTCAAACTTAGTTTTAAGAAAGCAAACTCAAGTAGAACGTGACAATAAAAATTAATATAGTATCTCAAGGGACCCAAAGATTAGATACAATTAATTGTTAGGGAGTATGTTAAACAATGACTTTTACCCTATTCCAAATTATTTCTGTTTGGATAAATAAAAAGAAAAGAATTTAAAATCACACATGATTTCCAAACCTATTCTTTGTCCAATTATTTTACATTCTAAAAAAGGTTGGATTTACGAGGATTTTAAGTTTAAACCTAACAAATTTCTATTTTCTCCCTTTCCCCGATAAAGATAGATATTTAACTTTTGAATTTTATACAATCAACCTTACACTCATACAATCTCCCTTCTACACCTTCTACACAGATTATCAAGCACATTACAAGGTTAGTTTCAAAATTTTGCATTGTTTCTTTTTTTTCTTTTTTAGTTTTCTTTATTCTAATAATAGAATACTCTAATGCTCTCTACAAATTTTCTTTAGTTATTTTAATAAAGAATAAAAATTTGTTGAAAAAAAAGGAAAAAAGAATTCAGGCTGGTTTTATTATTATTTTAAAAATATTTTCTAACACTAGGGTAGATATGTAATTTCATATCCTGGGTGCCCTTCTAGGGCTTTGGGCTTTTGACATACGATTGAAGGGCTTTATTAGGCCACAAAAGGCCCATCCTTAAACCCATTCATCGCCTGCAATTTGTAGCAGTTCAATAGACAAAAGATTTGCAATTTTGCACAGTAATGGCGGAACGAATCTGTTCGGCTTCGGCCTTATCCACTGGTCCGAATGCAATTGCTTCCTCTTCCGTCGCTTCAGTTCTTTCCCTTCTTCTTCCGCACGCATAATGTTTGCGGAATCGGCTACCTGGTCAAGTTCAAGACCAAGAGTGACCAATTACAAGAGTCAACTTTTCAATTTGTTCCCCGCCTCTTTAATTTCGGTCAATTCTATGGTTCGAGAGCTCGATTTGAGTTTGTGAAAAAGGGGGGCGTTTGTTAGAAATGATACTCCCTTTTGTGAAGTTAGGGACTCTCGCTCTGAAAACCTTTTGCAAACCCATCGCCCGTCGTCTCAAGAAGGACGCCGGATTGCACCCCAAGTTTAGGCAGTGTATTATCAACGTCGCGCAGGTTTTGTAGAATTTTCAACGATTTACATTGCTTTCAATATGATATATTTAACTTCTGTTATGAATATGATATATTTTGCACAAATGTGTTGCTGGGAAAAGATTTTAGTCTGCATCGTCCTACTCATTCTCAATCTCAAGTAATATGAATGTTAACTCTCTCTCTCTGTTTTTTTCTTCAATACCTTGAAATGGGACTTTTACTACTATAGAATTCTGCAGTATTAGAGTTGCGCCCGGAAGTGAAATAGATGTATATTATATTATTACTTGGCTTGTGAAATCAGTTGCTTCAAATTTGATGCAACCCTCTTATTTGATTTCCCCATGGTACGTCATATGCATAGGTGTTCAAGGAATGCAAATAATTTTCTTGCTACTTTGATTTTGAACTTTTCTTGCACCATAGTTTGATTCTTTAACACAAATTATTCTTTGTGGAGAATTGATCGTAAGATTTTCTTATATTGTTCTTTGTGATATGGAACCAGGCAAATCACCGATTTTCGACGAATGTGCAACGAAGAATTTATGGTCGTGCAACAGATGCTGCCATACGGCCCCTGAATGAAGAGAAGGCTGTCCAAGCTGCAGCAGATCTTCTCGGAGAGCTTTTTGTATTCACAGTAATATGATTTCTATATATATCTCTCTCTCTTCTTATTTTAATAAAATTATCTCAGCATATTGAAGTGGCTTTACTGTGTCTTTATGCTGCTTCGTAAAGAAGGATTTTTTAGTGTGTTCCTGCTGGGATATTTTGATTTATCAAATTATATCTCATCCACATTGAAACATACTGACTAGAATAAAAGTTTATTTACAATGTCTACCATTCTTCGTTTAGTTCCACTGGGCTATAAAATGTGAACTGGCCTTTTGGAAAATTATATTAGACTAGAATCACCATGTTATCCAATTTACCATGAAAAAGTCGTAGAGATCCGTATACTTATTATCATATTGCTTCATTAGAAGCATAGATTTCGCAATTTTTATATCAGCTGTACTCTGCACGTAGGTTGCCGGAGCTGCTGTTATTTTTGAGGTGCAAAGAAGTTCTAGATCAGAAGCAAGAAAGGAGGAGCTCCGTAGGCAAGAACTCGAGGTATTTGGGATTCTTTTCCTTTATTTCTTCCTTTTTTTTTTTCAAATGAAATGAATTGTGTCTTCATATTTCATAACAACTGGGGATTCATTCTGGGATCGATTTGAATAAATGAATGAACTTTCTGGATTTAGCGCATTCCAAGCACCTGTATTCTCCTCGGTGTATATTCTAGGCTAACCAGCTGAATGTTGAGCTTGCAAAAAGAGCACTTTCTATTTTTTTTAAGCTAGATATGGGTAATGGGTCCTTTCTCCAGGGGGGAGGAGAGGAGGAAGTGGGGGAGAGGAACATGGAAGTTGGAGTTATGAAGGTGTAGAATAGGAATTTAGAGTGAACATCAAAAGTTTATTATTGAATCAGAGCAAGATAACTAGTTTAGTTTTCCAAGTTATATTTTGTAAAATTAACGTGAATTTGCTTCATTCAAGCAGAAAAAGCAATAATATTAGGTGTTAATTTGCTAATATCAATTTTAGTTTAGGACCTTTGTATGTTGTTTGGTATTTATTTACCAAAATCATGGAAAAATCGCACAACTGACAATGCAACTTATTCCACCAGAAATTCTTGGTATTTTATTCTCTTGTAGTCTCGTAGCCTTCTTTTATTTTCTTTTGCCCTCATGTGATTTTAAAATATTGGGAATTGCTCTCACTGTTTCACATATATAAGTGCTTCTGATCTGACTTGAATTTAAATCAATATTTTAGCATACTTTGTTCTTAAATATCTTTACATGTTTGTGACTTTATAGGCAATGAAACAAAGAGATGACGATATAGCTCGAGAAATAGAAATTCTGAAACAGAAAGTGGAGGAGCTGGAACAATTGTCGAAGGGACGAGGGGTAACCAGCATCTTTCACTTCAGGCATCCGCATACCTCTGAAGCTGAAAAGGCGAAACATACTTGATTATCAGTAAGATCAAGTAAGCCGTGGATTTTGTAACTGAGCGTTTTTCTTATCAGTTGATTGAGATTTAATATTTCTAACAGTCTATTAATATGAGAGAAATTAGAGCCGCTTAATTTTGATGTTGATACTTATTTTTATTCTTGAAGAATCAATTCAAGACTAGAGATGGTATGGGGGAGAAAGAAGAGCAAGCTACAAGAAAGTCATTTTTTTCCCCAGCCTTTATTCAAGAAATAAGAAAATGCCATGAACAAAGTGACTGTTAAGTGTTACATAATCACCAAGATAAATGCAACAAACTATTTATTTAAATTTGTCTAAATTTGTTATTGTTTAGTCTAAAATGCATTAGATGTGTAAAAAACCAGTGTGACATAATCTTCTCATGCAATCACAGCTTGTAGACTTTGGATGAAATTGTTGATATAAGACTCCTCCAAATCCTTGTCAAGTAATAATTCTCTTATCTTGGCACGGTTTTCTCTGATCTCTTTCCCTGTTTCATCCTCTTCATCCATCACTATCTTCACTGCCTTGCACACACTTTCCCTTGTAAAATATCCATCTTCTTCCCCTCTCTCCACCTCCACACCAACCTTCAAAACACTGCTCAATGTTCTTGCTCGAAAAAAGTGGTCACTAATATGAGGTAACATCACCAATTGACACTTTCTCACCAATGCCTCCGATAAAGAACCCGACCCACAATGTGTAATGAAGCATCCGATCGATGGGTGCTCCAAAATAAGCTGCTGTTGAACCCATCCCCCGTAGACCACCCCTCTTCCCCCAACTCTTTGTTCAAACCCTTCAGGCAAGGCTGCTTCGACCGTTTCGACACCGTGAGGTAGTTTAAGGGCAGACAAGAATGGCATATTTGAAAGCTCTAAACCCAAAAGTAATTCTTGGAACTGATCTTTTGGTAAGGTACACTCACTTCCTAATGCACAGTATATGACCGAGCCAGTATTGAACCCTGATAGCCATTTTGCCCATCTTTCTTCTAGTGTTGTGGTTGGCTGTTGTGTGTCCTCTGATCCTGAAAGCAACACAGGCTTTTTGAATTCACTTATGAGATAGTCTACATAAGGCCCCTCAATTTCCCTACTCGACTTGAATGCTATAGCATCGCATTCCTGAAGTCCAGTGAAATGGCGGCGAAAGAAGAAGACATCACTGCCAAACCTCGTACGGCTCATGGATGCGCAAAATCGAGCCTCGTGAGCATGAAGCTTGATGGTGGAACTCGGGTAGCCGGGAGGTGGCTGCATAAAATCAGCCTCAGATAAATAATCTCCACAGAGCTGCCTTGATGGGACATAAATATAACCAAATGTTGTTGCACTAATGACGCTATAATAAATCGACTTGATACCGAGTCGACGTGCCAATTTCGGCATCCAGAAGACGAAATCGAAGAAGATGGCATGGGGTCTCATGTCTTGGAGAATATGCTCGATTTCTGGTCGGGTGTGATCCATGGCTGTCATGATGAGACTGAACTGCGAGGAGTGAGGAACATCGGTCGTAGTCTCGGCGCCAAGAGGAAGGCCGTCAACATGAGGGACAGTGATGGGGAGAAAGGTAATGAGATGTGGAAAGAGATTAAAAGGCTGCAATTTGGGCAGTGTTTTGGATGGGATGAAGAAGGAGATTCTATGGCCTTTCTTGGCTAGCTTGTTGGAAATTTGGAGATATGGAATCAAGTGGCCAAAAGCAAACCAAGGGTACACTGCTATGTGCATTCTGGAACTGGAAGTTACAGCCATTGTCAACACTTCTCTTTTTCCTCTTTCCCACCTTCCAATAGCTAAAAAACAACAAAATAAGGTAACAAATTTTAGCAAGTGGGTGGTAGAAAAGATCAGTAGGAGTTGATGTTCAAAACTAAGATCCAAAACAAGTCTAGCTTATCGATAATTAAGATATACCTTCAATCTAGAGAGTGTGAATTCGAATCTCTCCTCATGTGTTGTGCTAAGAAAATGTCAATATCAATTTTTGAACGTACTTGTCTCTTTTCGAAGAAATAGAGAATTTTTTTTTTTGTAAATAAAATACAAGTTAAAGGAAAATAATTAGTGTTGAAGAGAAAGGGAAACTGGGGATGAGCTACACAGGGGAGTTGATCATTCCCATTAAGCCTCTTCTTAAAAATTGGAACAAGTTTGGATGTTTGGGGGTGGAAAAACTCCATAAGAGAAATGGGTTTTGTTCCTTTGGTTATTTAACATTGGAAGGAAGAGAGAAGAAGCAAGATCTGTTTTTTACGAGGCATTTTGGGTTGATCTCTATGAATTTTGGTAAATCTTTTGTTTAAAATAAGGGAGGAAAAAATGGTTGACCAAAGAAGTAAAATTGAGGGGGAAAAGACATAGCAAACATACCTGGAGCCTGGAGGGTTTTCGTGGGCAAGTTGCAGCAAATTGTGAAATGAAGGAAAAGTAGGATTTCGTGGAGAAGAAGAGGGAGAAATGATAAAAAAATTAATAATTATCGTAATAAATGATAATAATATTTATTATTAACCCACTTGACGACAAAAAGGGTAGAGAGAGTGCAGCACAATTTATTTATTTATTTTTTTTTCGCAAAAGGGACAGAATACTTAACAAAAGAAAATGCCTGAGTCAGGAAAATCAGGAAAATTGTGAAAAATAATAAAAATTATTTTAATGAGTAAATAAAACTTTAATGGTAGCTTAATTTAGTTATAATTAATCACTTCTAACTATTTTATTATATTATATCATCTATAAGGAGGGAAAGACAATTTTCTTCCTATCGACGTGTCGACCGATATTTAGTACTTTGGTCTTGACAACGGTTAGAAATGATAAGCCGTTCTATTTTTTAACAAAATAGAACAGCTACCTCTTTTATGCATTTCTCTCCTCTGTATGTCAAACCAATCAATTATAATAAAAGGTATCTAGTACATGAATCAACTACACTAAATCTTGGTCCTACTGTATCGTGTCCATCAATGATTTCAGACAATATATGACACGTTATTAATTTACCAACAATGAAACCAACAACCTCACTTATGGGAAAAATAAACATAATCGTGGTAATAATTTAAAAGAAATGGATGAACACAATAAGCTTCTACGGGCCTTTTCATGGCTGCCAATGAGCAATCCAAAGCATGAGGTCCAACAACTATCATGTATTCATTAATTTCTACCATTTTCTTAGCACACCTCAATCTCTCTTTTATCTCTTCATTTTGCTGTTTCTTTTTTCACAACATGCTGTAATTTGTAATGGGAGGTAAATGGGAACATAAAATTTATGAGAGAAATTAGAGGAAACAAAAGACTTCTCTTCTTGTTGCTCATGCAACCAAAAGTTGTAAAATGTGGATGAAATTTTTGATATTAGATCTTTGTAAAGCAATTACTCTCTTAATTACTCTCTTATCTTGGCACGGTTCGCTCTGATCTCTTTCTCAGTTTCAATTTTCTTTTCTTTTTTAGATAACTTGGAGTCGGAGCTTTTCACTAAACTTCCACGCCAACTTTTTCAATAAGTTGCTCGGCAATCTTGCTCGAAAAAAGTGATCATTAATACAAGGCAACAGCACTAATTGACACTTCTTCACCAAAGCCTCTGATAAAGAGCCTGACCCACAATGTGTAACAAAGCATCCAACTGATGGGTGCTCCAAAATGAGCTGTTGTTGAACCCATCCCTCATAGACCACCCCTCTCCCCTGAACTCTTTGTTCAGACCCTTCAGGTGAGGTGGCGTCCATTGTGTCGACGCCGAGAGGTGGTTTAAGTGCAGCCAAGAATGGCATATTTGAAAGCTCTAGACCCAGTTAGTAATTGATCTTGGAATTGGTCTTTTGGTAAGGTGCACTAACTTCCAATTGCACAGTATATAACTGAGCCAAAGTTGAGCCTTGATAGCCATTTTGTCCATCTTTCTTCTAAGGTTGTGATTGGAGTTTGTAGATCCATTGCTCCAGAAAGAAACATGCGCTTTTCGAATTCGCTTTCGTGATGGTCTGTAAAAGGCCCTTCAATCTCCTTACATGACTTGAATGCTAAAGCATCAGATTCACTTTACTGAGGGATATACAAAATGTTGAGCCTCATGAGCATGAAGCTTGATGGTGGAACTGGGGAAGCCAGGAGGTGGCTGCATAAAATCATCTTCAGCTAAATCAAGTCCACAAAGCTGCCTTGTTATGATCATAGCATAACCAATTGTTACTACTGAAGTGACACTATAATAAACTGACTTAATTCCCAATCGACATGTCAGTTTTGGCACCCAGTGAGCGAAATCGAAGTAGATGGCGTCGGGTTTTATGTCTCGAAGAAGAGACTCAACTTCAGGTTGGGTGCGGTCCATAGAAGTCATGATGAGACTGAGCTGCAGAGTGTGAGAAACATCAACAGTTGTCTCAGCGTCAAGAGGGAGACCATCAACACATGAGGAACTGTGATGGGGAGAAAGGTAATGAGATTTGGAAAGAGATTGAAATGCTGCAATTTGGGCAGTGTTTTGGATGGGACGAAGGAGAATCTATGGCCTTTCTTGGCTAGCTTGTTGGAAATTTGGAGAAATGGAGTCAAGTGGCCAAAAGCAAAGCAAGAGTACATTGCTATGTGTAAGTTGGAAGTGGCAGCCATATTGTTCTTACTCCTTGGAAAGGATGAAATCAAACAAATTCAGATGAATGTTGAGGCTTAATGGAGCAAATCAATCCAAGAGAACACAAGAGGAATATTGGATAAGAAGGAAACCATAGCAAGCAAATATGTAATGGAAGTTTACGAGTCCCTAAAGACCAAAGTTATGAGTCTATATAAAGAATATGCAAAAGGTTATGATCTTCAATATACTAAACATGTTCAGTCTTCCTACTATTCCCCATCTTAATCGAGAGAGTTCCAAGTTTTGGTGCGTTTAATCGAGGAAGATCATTTCTAAGTTGTTGTTCCTTACACCGAGAGTAATATGTTCCTATGAGTCTAAGCAGGACCGGAGGCAAATAAAATTTCTTTGGCAAAATTTTACTTACTAACTTTTTATATATATTTTTTTTTTAATTTAAAAGGGCAAATTTGAGAAAAACTATAACATCTTAAATATTTTATACCTACTTTCTGAACTACGATAAACTACAACGACCTAAGAGGCGGACTTACCCTTCTTCGTTCCTCGCACCACTTTTTCTAAAATTTCTACCTTGGATTAAAGTTTTTTGTTTTCGAACTTGAGCCACGTGACGCTGCTCGAATTGACTTGTCATTTGATAGAAGGGTTAAAAGATCGAGATAAAAGCTTGATGTTATGAGATTGAGTGAAGACACCAACATGGAAAGGGACAACTTGAAAGCTACGTTTTGTATTTTAAGTGAAGACATCAACATTCTGTACCCATTCTCGGGAAGATGGAAAAATAAGTGGCCAAGAAAGATCAGAAGAAAGTTGCCTTATACGGACAGATGTAAATAGTTATGTTATTATGTGACTCGTATCTCACAGCAGTTTTGTCAAAGAAGATTGGACTTGTCCTTTTATTTTCTCTATCGGGGCAATTTTGTTACGTTGGTGTGAGCCCTTGTGGGTTTTTTCCTTCAAACCTAATTCTGTCGTGGGTTTGAGATTAGAGCAGCGGAAAAATAAAATTTGGAGTTTCATCTTCTTCCCTGCAACACAGCAGTCGAGGGTGAAAAATACAGAAGTCTCTTTCTTGTATTTTTGTCCATTGTTTTCACCTTTTTCGTTTGGTTGCTCTGCATAAAACTTGGGTTTGTTTTTCTCTCCTCCTATATTTATATTGTTCTTGGATATTGAAGCTAATAGAAGTTTTGCTCTCACCTTGTGCAGTGGATGTAGACTACATTGGTCGAACCACTGTAAACTTTGATGTCGTCTTCTCTTTTCTTATCTACTTGACTTAGTGTTAATATTACTTGGTGGATTTATTTGGATCAATGATTAATATTGTTTGATGAAAGAAGTAGTGGTTATTGGTGTATTTCACACAACAAGTTCGGTTTAGTTTTACTTTCAATATGTTGAACCCTAAACAAGGACAACTTGAAGGTGTGGGAGCCGAACTAGACTAGGAGGCTATTGGCTTTCCATTTCGAAAGCCTCTACCCGTCAAATTTTTACTTTTGCTCAAAGTATCTCTTTCCAAATTTGGTTGACATTTTGGAGTCCCGATAACATCTAAAACTCTTAAGAAACTGGGAAAATGATCGGATTAACTTGAAGATAGCTTAACAGTTGAGGCACCATATTCTCTAAAAAGGAAATACATTTATTGTTAATATTTAAACTAATTTATATTTTGCCACGTATCGATTTTGGATTGGATATGTTTTGTGTAAGTTGAAAATACCATGACGCCAATGTCCATGGATGGATCCTATAGGTTAAATAGCTATCCTACTTTGGAATTTTAATCTCTTTTCTTTCGTACAGAATACATGTGAAGGTGGGTTTCGAACTCACGACCTTTGGTCGGAGATTTATGCCTTAACTCAAGTTGGCTAATTTTAATCCATTTTAATCCATGTTTAGCTACTAAAAAATCTCTAAATTTAGCTACTAATTAAAAAATCTTTAAATTTAGTCCTCAATATTATTTTTAGAAATTTTTTTTTTTTTCCAAAAGTTTGATCCCAAATTAACGTTGTAGACTAGCTCTATGATTTAGTATGAAATTAGATATTTGAAACTACTATAATTAAAATAAAATGTGTTAAATTATGCATTTGGTCTTATGGTTTAAAATTAATTTCATTTTCGTTCATATGATTCAGCTAAGTCTTCATCTTTGTTGTTATCATATTGATTACTTGACAAGTCTTTTTTATCTGGCAATGAGTTTGTGTTATCTATTTAATTGAATATTGTATTAAAGTTTAAGGTTGAATACAACTGAGAGAAAATATGTAGATTTTTCGAGTTGGTAAAAATGATTTACTGATAATTTGTGATGTCCAATAAAATCGTAAAGACTCAATTAGTTAAAACATATATCCTTAGAAGTTTAAATACTCACCACCACATATTGAACTAAAAAAATGATTTACTTCAAAATGCAAAGGTTCGGTTTTGTTTTGTTTCTTTTAATACAACCATAACCCAAGAAACTTCAGGCGGTAACACATGAGCACGAAGCACCACCACAACACATGAGCATGAAGCTTGATGGTGGAACTCAAGAAGCCAGGAGGCAGCTGCATAAAATCATCTTATGTTAAAGCATATCCACAAAGCTACCTTGATAGGATTGTAACATAACCAATTGTTAGGTCCCTCATCTTATGAATGTGGGATCTTTAACACTTTGGCATCCAGTGATTGAAATCGAAGAAGATAGCGTCGGGTTTTATGTCTCAAAGAAGAGACTCGATTTCGGGTTGGGTTCGATCCCCATGGCAGTTATGATGAGACTGAGCTGCAAAGTGTGAGAAACATAAGCAGTTGTCTCAATGCCAAGGAATGGTGACGGGGACAAAGGTAATGAGATGTGGAAAGAGATTGAAATTGCTGCAATTTGACCAGCGTTTCGGAGGGAATGGAGAAGCAAATTCTATGGCCTTTCTCGACAATCTTGTTGGAAAGTTGGGGAAATGGAGTCAAGTGGCCAAAAGCAAACCAAGAGTACATTGCTATCTTTTATCTAATTTTGATAGTAGAACTCTCAAATTTATTTTGTTTTTATTTTTAAAGATTAAAAATCAAAATAAAAGTGAAACACCCTTTTTGAAAATTAGATAATATTCCACTAATTGAAAGAAAAGATAGATCAATTAATTAACTTGTGTTTTCGAGCAAAATTCTAAATTCTTGATACTACACATTGCAGGTCTCCTCTGAATACTTTATTCGTAGAGTGGCCAACAAATAGATACAAGAGGGGGGGAAAATGCTACGCTTCATATCAGACACCTAACAACCTATAATTTAACAGCCTTGGCTCTAAAAATCAAAGATAAACTGGTTTAGCTTATGATATAAGGACAAAAAGGAAAAAACAATATCTTTCTTTGTATTATTTTTTCTACCCCCTGAACTTGCGTGGTTGAAAAGAATATGACATGCTGGTGGATGAACGCTTGAACGACCCGAGATGAGAAGTGCTCGATATTTTCTTGTTGATCTTGCATTTCCAGTACACCAAACATGAACCAGCTATCAAGGCTACAAGAAGCAATGTTTGAGCCAGGGTTCATTCCTTCGGCCTCTTACTCATGGCTTTACGCTTGTTAACATCCAAATATTTCTTTCTTAAACGAATGGCCTTTGGTGTAACCTGCATCAACAGAAGGGCCTCCTACTATCATCATAGTAAAATGGTTGAAAAATACAAATAACCGTCACAAAGCATACTAAACCAAAAACAAAATCGTAATCAAATAGGTCCTGAATATTGGAAAACGTGCGAGAAAATGAAGATGGGTTTAAGAAATTGGTGTATAGTGACATCATCAGTAAAAACTAATAAAAAAGATACATGTCGAGATAACCAATAGATAACGAAGATAGAAAGAGGAATTGAATAAATAAGCTTTACATCACCTCGATAAGTTCGTCAGATGCTACGTATCCTATGGCTTCTTCAAGAGTCATCTGCGGTGAAGTACAGATTAAGATATTACTAATCACACTATTGGGAAAAGGATAATGAACCTTTTCATCCTTATTCAAGTCCTAGAACTCAAATCTTTTGACTTCACTAATGAGAGCACAAATATATAACAGATTTTAGCGACATCGTACCAAGACATGAATAAAAGACTGATAAACAGTCGATATAGTTACTGCAGACAGGGAGGGACACAAACACCTAAGAAACACGGATATGGTTATGTGTTATTTTCTAAAAACCTAGGACCCAGACACCATACGGATACGTTATTTATACACTATTTTGAAAATATATCATTTTTATACTGGAAAGAAATTTAAAGTCAATAAATTTATGTATTTTTGAGCTTGCAAAAGAGTTTGATGTTTTTGCTCGCTAAATTTATTGCTTTTGTCTAATTTATCATACTTGATAAGTCTTTCATACGTGCCTCACAAATATTGGACTTATATTCAATTTTTACAACTAGTGTCAAACACATGTTTATTGGGCTAACTAGCATCCACAATGTGTCCCTTAGAAGTGTCAAAGTGACTGTTAGAGTATCCGACACCTGTCAAACATGTTAGTGTCCATGCTCCTTAAAGGGGAAACAAATTGCAAAGTAAAGGTAGAGAAGACATACAAGTCGCGGCGGAGATAGCTTCACGTTTTCATCCTTGCAGGCAGCACGGACATTGGTTAGTTCTTTAGTCCTCACTGGATTAACCTGGAAAAAGGAAATTGGTAACAATGTCGATCAAGTAGAAACAACTTAATCAAACAGTCCAATTCATAAGATTTCTGACTTACATCTAGATCCGAATCCCTAGAATGTTCTCCAATAATCATCCCATCATAAGCCTACAAAACACTCAACAAACCATCAGAAAGCCAAACAGAGAACATTTTCCAGACACTATAACAGGCCTCGGTATAATCCAGAAAACATAATTGCCATATTTGAACAAACCTCCATTCCAGGATTCACAAAAAGCGTTCCTCGGGGTTCTAAACTCATTAAAGCATGAGATGTAATTGCCCCGTAGCCCATTGATATCTATACAAAAGTAAGAAGGAAAAAATATCAGGTCCAACTCCAAAAAGTAAATAGATAGTTACCTCATAACACAGTAGTTAACAAATTCACCCTTAATATTATGACCAGTCCTCCATCCATTCTATAAAAACAACTTTAGAGACAGAAAAAATTTGATTTTGTGTCCAGTGAATTATGAGAGAAGTACTTCGTAGCAAGATATTCTCTTTTTTAAAAAATAAATTAAAAAACAAAGAGAAGGATATATTGCATAAATAATATTAAAATATATCCTGTATAATAATTCCTTCAATGGATCTGGTCGAATGCCATAGCAGGGGTAGAAAAATAGATCAGGCCATCAGAAAATACAATTGAAGTTACAGACATACCAGTACTCCTTTTCGGACATTTCCAAGAGGACCCCGATGTTTTTCATATTCTGGATAAAAAATAACAAGGATTAGGATTATATTTATTAATATAAGGGATCAAGAAAGGTAGAGACAGAGGATTTCAGGGTTTCGGAAAAAGGAACAAAAATAACAGATATAATTGAATATATTTGCAAACAAATACAAGGATGAATTTCAACAAAACCTGAAAATAGTAAAATGTATGTGGTTTAGTGAATAAAATAATACGCAGAAATCTTCAGAATTATTTGTGCATAACAAAAAAGAGGAAAGGTATTAACAGTGATTTGATATAAAAATTAAAAATAAAAACTAAATTAAATCACATGGCAATTCTCAGCACAAAACAAAAACAAAAGAGAACCACAAGAAGTTCGAGTTTAAAGAAAGTACTTAAGAATGCTCGATGCATAAAACCAGTTCCGCGTGTATCACTGCTAAACACACTTCTGTAACCAACCAGGCCCCTGAGAAATAGAAGGTGAAAGAATCCCATAAGTGTGATGAACTTTTCAAAAGAAGGGAATTTTGAACGTAAACACAAAGAAAACAAATAAAGTTGGTTTTTGAAAGATAAAAGAGGTACCAGAATTATTACAAATCAAATGTTGAGATAGGAAATTTATTTGATTTACATCATAATATCATAACCTACAACACTGAACAAAGCCAATGAAACACCAATTTGTTGAAGGTTAAACCTTCTGTTTTTTGCAACATGTGCAGCTTAATCTTTTTTTAAGGTTCTAGAAATCCCCAACATCCCCTTTAATAAACTTTTCCAGGAACCTACAGTCTCAAATATACTTCTATGAAATGGTAAATTCACCCCATAATATGTTATTCTAAAACTGCATTGCTGATTTTACTAATATTTAAGGTTTTCTGCCATTATCTCATCAATTAAGATATTCATTTGCTAGGAAGTAGGAACACTATTGTAAATTTTTGGGGAAGAATAAGACCAAAATGGACAATCTTGAACTAGATTCTAACCTGGATGGGCATGTCAGAGACAATCTAGTTCTACCAATATTTCCTGGGACTGGACCCATCTCAACAACTTCGGCACGCCTATGAGATAAGGCTTCCATAACTAACCCAACATGTTCTTCATTAACCTGAATACAAATACAATGCACGAATTTCACATATAGAAAAAATAAAAACAATTACATATACACAAATCTTACCTCTATGGTGACTTCTTCAATTGGCTCAAGCTTTGTTGAATCCTCAGTTTTATACCTGATGCAAAAAAATAAGTATGACTCAGCTGTGAAAAAGAATGAGTAAACAAAGTTGTACTGAATCGATTAAAAGTATTAGTAGCTAAAAAAGGCCAGCTCAACATTTGACAAAAAGTTAAGAATGGTACATCTTAAGTTAAGATGCACCCAACCAATTAACATGGAGTCCAAGATATCCAAGAACTCATTATAGATTAACTGTTAACTTCTATCAAGAAAACAGCCAAATTTCCCCAAATTTGTCATGTTCCTATGAGCTCCTAAAAAGTGTTGAAAATCAGTTTATATTCTCTTCATTCATTTGACAAATTCATGCAGTGCACATACAAATAAGAATACATGGGACAACAGCAAGGAGTGAATGAATGAGTAATGCCATACAGAAGCATCTTCAGTAAACTCACATTACTTTAGGTGGTGAAACGGACAACTCAAATCCTTCACGTCTCATGTTCTCAATTAGTATTCCTGATTTATCCCAAAATAAGCACAGTTGGTTTGCGACGGATTAAAATTTAATTATAATAATGAAATGAAAAGGGAAAATTAGAATAAGTTTGAGATGCCATAAATTACAAAAATAAAAGTGGTGTCTTCTTGCTTATGCGTTAGAAATTCCATTGAATGGGAGGTTAAAAAGAGGGCACCTAGTTGAAGTTCGCCTCGTCCTTGCACCTCATAAGATTCTGACAAGCCTGGAAGCACATTTATGGCAAGATTTGTTTCCGCTTCAGCCATTAATCGGTCTCCAATTTTTCCACCAGTCAACTAGAAATATAATGGTAGTAATAGTATATAAGTAGTGCAAGTCATTTCTCATTGCTTTCAATATTTACATTCAAAACAACATTTCAACTGAAAGATGACATGTGGAAAAAAAATCGAGGCTATGGTTAAATAATACTAGCAAAAAATATGACAGCATCATCCCATTATTGCAACAGCAGTAAACTAGATGCAATGCAATAGCAGCAGTAAAAAATGAAGTAGAATCACTAGAAAGCAAAGATTCCAAACTGCCAACAAAGAACTCACATGTGTGCCATCACGACCTGCCAATGGAGAGTCATTAACACCAAAGGTCATGGAAATAGTAGGAGGATCCAATTCAAATGTAGGCAAAGCAGCCAAAACCTGGGAGAAATAAAAATCGAGGAAAATGTCAGTAAAGCACAACATAAACTGAGACAGAAGGAATGCCAATAACGTACTTCAACATTTGCCACAGTATGGCCTATTGAAGGACTTGCTAGCCCAGCCATTGATATTATATCACCTGCTCCAGCACTATCAATCTGAACAACAGTTGTACCTTTCTTTTTCATTAATTTCACAACCTACAAAACACGTTTGAAATAATTCTCAATATTTGCATAGCATCAGTTCACTATGATAGAAAGAAAAACTCTAAAAAGACTATGGCAATTAGCATGTAAGAAACACAAATGTAAGATTAGATAAAGAAGTTCCTACACATTAGTCTTTAGATCCTACGTGTGTCCATCCCAAATATATCTTCAAGTCACTTTCAAGAAAACTAGAAAAGTCCCACTTTAAGCCTTTTTAGTTACTATAAGAAATGCTAAATGGCAGACCTTTCCCTCTTCCATTTTCTCAACACCAGAATCCTTGATTCGGAGTCCATGAACTCTATCACCAGTGCGAATGACACCACACGCAATTCGTCCAGTCAATATTCGTCCAAGATAGAAGTCTTTTTCCATCATAGAAACCTAAAAGGGCACTATCAAATATGTCGTAAATTCCAGAAGATTATTGAAAAATCAAAGTACAAAACCATGTTACACTTTAACACCTACCAGCATCTGAAAAGGTGCATCAAGTTTTGCCGCTGGTGGAGGAACATGTCTTGCAATGGCATCAAGCAACTGTGACATATTTTTCGATTCAGCAGGAGGATCTTTAGTGAAAGTGCTGGAAGCCCATCCTTCTTTAGCAGAAGCATAAAGAACAGGAAAGTCCAACTGCTCCTCTAAATAAAAGGTGTAATGGAATTAGTCGGTTTAATTAAGTGACTGTTTGAAAAATAGTTTGAGAAAAGTATTCTATTGCTATTTTCAAAATTGTCTTCAAAAATTGTGATGGAAGAACTTATAAAAGTTTAAATTCGTAGTTTTAGAAGGAATAACAATTTTTCTTCTTCTAACAAAAAAATGAAAGAAAAAATCAGTAATTCTGGTAAAAAAATAAAATTAAATAAAAAATAATAATAATAAACCATTTTGAAAACCATTGTCAGACAATCCTAACTTATTGTAAAGTAAAGAAGGTAACAGTAGTAGAAGTTGCAGTATAGAAAATATTAACTTCAAATGTCATCAATACCTGTAGCACCCAGATTTGCAAATAGATCAAATACTAGGCTCTCAACTTCATTACACCTCTCTTCAGATACTGCACAGGTAAAAATGAGGGGTTAACACAATTTTCCTTCTTTTATCTACTTTATTTCTTTATTTACTCTTTAAAAAAGACATAGAAATAGTTGTAGCTAACTAGAAAAATATAAACATCCAAAAGATACTTGCACAAGGTAATATTGAAGCAAAGGATTGAGAAGAATACCATACCAAATTATAATGCCCTAAGAAGGCTAATTTACTTCCTTTCTTGAACAAGATCTATTTTACTCATTGTACCTTAGGACCTTAAGTTCAAAAGAGATTAGCTGACCTTAATGGTGATATCTCATCAGAATAGGTAATAAACACAAGTTAAACAACCACTTTATTCTTCTAGTGTGAAGGTATCTCTCAAATATTGATTCAATGTATCCAAAGCCCCTCGAGACATGTTTTCTCCAAAAAATACATATACATATCTACAATTCCATTTGGGTGAAATTCTGGATGCGAAGAAAGCAGGAGTTATTTTTCAAGCAATATGTCGTAATGAAAAAGTATGACAGGTTTTCAGATACCTGCTGGTCGATCAACTTTGTTCAAAAGAAGAATAGGGCGGAGCCCATACTTTAAGGCTTTTGCAAGGACAAACTTTGTTTGTGCCAATGGACCTTCACCGGCATCAACAACTAAAATTGCCCCTTCAACCATTCCAACAACACGCTCAACCTACATCAGACAAACCAAGTTGTGTATATTAGTAACAAGGCTTATTGCATTCTAAGAATTTCATGGGCAATTAGAGAAAGATTGTGTTTATCAAAATAATCAAGGCCCAATTTTAAATGAAAAATTAAATCTAGCTAATTGAACTAAGCCTCTCACGTCTATAATAAAATTCTTAACTTTTCTTCTTTTATACTCCAGAAAGAGAACGTCCCTGAACAAAGCTACTCATTATATGAGATCAACTGAAAATGAAAACTTCACATCCCCATGAATTGAACAAATCTAAGTTTCTAACGTCAGCAAATGAAAACATACTTCTCCACCGAAATCTGCGTGACCTGGTGTATCCACCATGTTTAACTCATTTTCCTTCCATGAAACAGACGTAACCTGCCAACAAAAAATTATGCATATCAACCAAACCATTGGTAGGTAATTATCAAGTAAGAAATTGAAGATGTATAGACAAAATCTCGATTGAACCACAATCGAGATTTTGGTAACACCAAGTTCTATTCAATCTCCCACAATCATCCTCCTAGAACAAAGCAGACCAAGAAATACAAAAGAGTTAACACAAATTACCTTGGAGGCAATCGTGATGCCTCGCTCGCGTTCAAGACTGATAGAATCCATAGCTCGCTCGTGCGGTATATCTGCGCCACACTGCCGGAGGAGGCGATCCATGAGTGTTGTTTTGCCGTGGTCAACATGGGCAATCACTGCCACGTTCCTGAGTCGGCTCGGATCAAGAGAACTATCAGGTGCGACGGCAAAAGCAGAAGCGGCAGTGGCTGCAGAGAAGGCGCGCGCGAGGATATTCGGGAAGACAGGCGAAAGGGATATCGATTTAAGATGGTAAGAAGGCGAAGACGATGAGGAGATAGATCTTCGAGATGATGACCAGAGACAACGGAGCAAAGGACCCGCCATTTCCGCCGGAAATGGCAGAGCTTTAAGAGGTTTTAGCTTCCGGCGATTCTTAACTGTGAACAGCGGGAGTTGCTTGGTAGGGTTTTAGCTTTCTCTTTTTCTTCCTTTTACTTCCTCGTCCAAATTCTGAAATATTATATTTAACCAGAAGAAAAAAAATTACAAACAAAAAATAACAATACAATTATACGTATATATTAAATAATATTAATTCATTTACATTTTAAAACAAATTTTACCTTAAGAAAAATCAATATTTTTTTAGGGGATTTGAATAAACTTAATCAATTGACCAAAAAATATATATATTTACCGTTAAGTTTTATCCTTAATTTTTAATCTTATTAAATTATACTTCACAATAGTTTGCAAATTTGTAGACATAGCAAAACAATTATACATATATATTGAATAATATTAATTCATTTACATTTTAAAACAAAATTTTATGTTAAAAAAATAAATATTTTTTTATGAGGATTCGAACTCACTTTAGTATACCTTAACCATTAATTTTTATCTTTAATTTTTAATTTTATTAAATTATACCTCACAATAGTTTGCAAATTTTTTCTTTTTCAAACTTTCTTTGAATAATTATATTGTTACTTAAAAAATTTGATTGCAAATGTAAATTTAATACTATTTTTTTCTTTCAGACTTAGCTCGAACCATATCTTGGATATCTCTTGGTACTGTGCCAAGTACTAAATTTAATACAAAATTTATAAATAATAAAATATTATTCGGAATAATAACCATCCAGTTTTTAGAAAATTATTAATATTTATTCCTTTTACCTTTTTTATTTTATTTATGTATTATCTGTTTTTTTTCTTTTTATTATTTATTTTTTCTTTGCAAAGGAAGAAAATTACAGGTATCGGGAAATTGAGATTTTTGACCCCTTTCAATAACCACTTTGGACTTTTGACCCCCTTTTGATTTTTACCTATTTATGACCCTCCACCTTAGATTTCTGACCCCTCCCCTTATTTTGTTTTGTAAAATTACCAAGTTACCCTCAA